CAGTGGCTGTAGCTGATGTGAAGAACCGGGCAGGATCGGATCTTGTGAAGGCTAGAACGGGAGATCCTTGCGTTTATGACTAGACTGAGAAGAAAGCAGAAGGGTCAATCTCGGGTGTTCTTCAACCGACAAACATTTGCGTTGCGACTATTCAAAGATACAACGGCACAAAAAAAGCGACTTAGGGCCATTTTTCACACTTACGACTGTTGCAGCATCCCCGGGACCATGTGATCAAAATTCAGAGGCTTGACAACTGGCTCTTATTTATGATGGCCGCAGTGTCCCGGGATCACATGATCCCCTTTTTCAACCTTCTGAGAAACCCAGTCAACAGGGAAGCTGGTTAACAACGACACCGTTATCAACAATGCAGTGATTCATTTAACAATTGAGGCAAAAAGAGTCGTAAAATGGGGCATATCTCACTTAACACAAGTGCTTTGTGTCACTTGTGGTCGTACATTGACCTGCATCATATTTCTCTTCTGTGGGCAAAAATCAAACTTGAGCATGTCCATAAACTGCTGGGACGTCTGCTTGAAACGAAATGTCTCCAGGCCTTTTTAAAAATATAATGGCAGATGTCTGCAAGGAAGGAGAACGAGCACATGGATTAACAGCTCTGCTCCTTTGTTTTAGCCCTGGAGCAAGACGCTTAGCAAATCTGTAGTAAATTACCATCTGCACATCAACATTGCTTGCCTTCCTGGCTTGTCAATTTGGTGTTGCTGTCCGAGTTGTCCTTGCAGCATCGGATATTTTGTGTTTTAAATTGGGAACATGGCAAGAAAAGAGGTGGTGAGAATTTAATTTTTTTCCCCTCTTGTTTTCCCCTTAACTTTTGCTAGAAGTGGAAATTATTCTTGGGCTCTGGAAAGAGCTGAGCTTTCAAATTCCGTTTTAGCATCCTGTTGATGACAACACTGTTTTTCTCTTTCTCTCTCTTTTTTTTTCTCTTTTCCCCTTTTGCTTTCCACCAGCTGAGAGGCAAAAGGCTCAAGACTTCTGTTTGAATAGCCCAGGTAGTGTTACTTGCAGAGGACAATCCCAGAAAGCATTCATGAGCTTGGTTAGTGTGAAAAAAATAAGAGGAGATGGATGATTGTGCTTCTGCTGGACCGTTGACTCAGACATTACCGTATATTCCAGCATATAAGGCGACCTGGCGTATAAGACGACCCCTGTCTTCGGCGCCGAGTCACATGCCTAGAAAGTCGTCTTATACGCCAGAAACTACCGTTATTTCTGGCGTATAAAACAACTCGGCGTATAAGACGCCCCCCCGACTTCGGTGCTGATCTTAACGCTTGCGAAAGTCATCTTATACGCCAGAAAGTACGGTATTTGGGCCCAGATGCTGTTAAAAACCAGATCTGAGCTGGGAAAGGAAAGAGGAACTTCAGCTAGTTTCAGAAATCAATCAGACATTGTTTATTTCTATCTCACATGCTAAAGGCATTCTGTAGCCCTCAAGCCAACAAATAACAGAACTTGAATCCCTCATGTGAGGTTATCAAATCACTGCCTTGCATTCTCCTCCCAAATTGTGACCCTCTTTGGTTGGGGAAATCATGAATTTGGCGTAGTAGCAAACAGCGAGCTTGTAATGCTGCATTGTACTTAATATTACAAACCAGATATTCTCCAGATGTGTTGGCAATACAATTTCAAGATTGAAGACTGAACTGGTGGGGAATTCTAGGTGTTGCAGATAGAACGCACCTGGAGAAAATAAGCAGGTTTTTCCATACATACCTGTATCTCACTTGCAATATTCTGCATAACCACTAGGTGAAGGAAAGAGTTTCTGGAAATCTAATCCTTTGCTGCCATCTAGTGTTCACCCAGAATATTTACAGCTCATAATGGTAGCCCTAAATAGTGAAAACATCTATCTTGGAGTTCAGTTAAAAGAAACTATGGGATGGTGCCCATCATTTTTCACAAAATCTCGAATAGAATAAAGCTGGAAGGGACCTTGGAGGTGTTCTAGTCCAGCCCCCCCCCCCGCTCAAGCAAGAGAACCTATACCGTCTCAGACAAGTGACTGTCTAGCCTCTTTTTAAAAATCTCCAGTGATGGAGCGCCTATGATTTCTGGGGGCATTTCCTTTGTAAATTTGTAAAATAGTTCTGCTGAGTCCTTATTCTTCTTCTAATCTTAACTATCCATAACTGCTTTCATGACAAAATGAATGTTATTCTGTGACAAAAATTAACTGAAGCTACAATATTCATATAGTTCCTGAATCCAACCAAATATTAGAAAGCTGATGCTGGTTATAGCTATAATTCATTCAGGTGTCTCCTCTTGAAGGAGATGGGGGGGGGGCAAGACACAGGAAATATAAATAAATAACCAAATTAAATCAACACATTTTGCTATCTACTAAGTACCAGCATGGTTAATCTTTCATGTTCCTTGTTCCTCTTTAATAACAGGCATTTGATTCTGTTCTCGTAGCACGGGAAGTTCCATTGTGATCGTAGGTCAAGGACTGTCTTTATATAAATCTTTGAAAAGCAGAATAATTTTTATAAACCTGTACCTCTGGGGGAAAAAAATAGCAAAGCGACTTGACTTTTTCTCTGCCTATTAGAAAGGAAACTTTGTTTAACGAGAATAAAAATGATGCTGTCAACAAAACTGAATCAATGTTTGCTGAAGGAGTTTACCAGATGGCAACCGGGTGGATAACGTGGATGTTTAAAATACTTTTTATGCTCAGGAGGAAATATATATTATACACACATATAATACATATCTGCAGTTGTTGTTGTTAATTGCGAAGTCGTGTCCGACCCATCGCGACCCCATGGACAACATTCCTCCAGGTCTTCCTGTCCTCTACCATCTTCTGGAGTCCATTTAAATTCACACCTACTGCTTCAGTGACTCCATCCAGCCATCTCATTCTCTGTCGTCCCCTTCTTCTATTGCCCTCAATCTTTCCCAGCATTAGGCCCTCAATCTTTCCCAGCATTAGGCTCTTCTCCAGTGAATCCTTCCTTCTCATTAGGTGGCCAAAGTACTTGAGTTTCAACTTCAGGATCTGGCCTTCTAAAGAGCAGTCGGGGTTGATCTCTTCTAGGACCGACCGGTTTGAACGCCTTGCAGTCCAAGGGACTCGCAGGAGTCTTCTGCAGTAGGCATATCTGCAGTAGGCATATCTATTTCAGGTTAAATATATGCCTACAGTGTACAGAAAGATTTTTTAATAGACCTAAAATTGCTGCATATCCTATTTACAGTCATGTATCAATGTGTATTTCCCATGGAGTATTTTAAAATGTTTGAATTTCCTAAGCAGGATATAAATGTTCTTGGATTTATATCTTGATCTTAAGAATCCATTCTTGGAAAAAAGAGACGTTTTTACGTTGCCTCTGGAACATTCAGACTTTACTCAGGAGATGCTGAGTATAGTAGAATATAATGTCATTATTATTATTATTATTATTCACTGTTATTAAATATATGTGCTGCCCAACTCTTAGCTACTCGGAGCAGCTGAGAGTTGGACATAAGTAATTACATAATCTACACCACCAGTGTTTATCACTCTTAGCAACTTTAAGACCTGTGGACTTCAACTCCCAGAATTCCCCAAGTCAACATGCTGGGTGGATAAGTTTGGGAGTTGCAGTTCACACATCCTAAAATTATCATGTTTGAGAAACACCAATCTACATGCAGGGAGTAACATTCTATATTATTATCAAGAAAACTTCATGGACTCCTATTACAAAATGTTTTATAGGTGGCACCTTGATCCACAAAAAATGACTCGTATGTATCCTGACTTACAGCCTAAATGTTGGAGATGTGGATGTTTGGATGCTACTTATTATCATATCTGGTGGTCTTGTAAAAATATAAAAGCTTTTTGGATTAAGATATGGTGGAATATCCAAAGAATTTTTAGAAGAAGGGTAAAATTTACCCCACAATTGTTTTTGTTAGGTATTGTTTCTGATTGTGATACTAAAGAGACTATATTGATGTTAAATTTAATTACAGCGGCAAGGTTGTTAGTAGGGCAATGTTGGAAGAAGGAATCTTTGCCTACCTTGCAAGAATGGTTTTTTAAAGTTTCTTATTTGGCGGAAATGGCAAAGATTTCGGCTTTCTTAAAAGACCAATCGCAAGAGAAGTATTTTTTGGTATGGAAAAAATGGATAGACTTTATACAACGTAAGTTGGATATAAAAAAATATTATTTAGCTTTTTAATAACTTATATTTAAAATTTAAGATATTTTATAGATTTTATAGACTTTCCTTTTTTTTCTTTTTTCTTTTTTCTTTCTTCCTATTTTCTTGTATTTCCTTGTATTTTTGTCTTTATATATATATATATATATATATATATATATATATATATATATATATTATTGTTAACTATTTCACAACTTGTTTAATTAATGTATTTAGATTTGTTAATGGTTTATATCTGTTTTAAGATTTTTTGAAAATTTTTTAATTAAGCCTGTATTCAGCTCTGGGAAGGTTGGGGGAGGGTATGGGAGGGTTGGGGGGGCTCGGGGAAGGGAATTGTATTGTAAAATTTAAAAAATTTCAATTAAAAAAAAAGAAAACTTCATGGACCATTATTATTATTATTATTCACTGTTATTAAATATACGTGCCGCCCAACTCTTAGCTACTCGGAGCAGCTGAGAGTTGGACATAAGTAATTACATAATCTACACCACCAGTGTTTATCACTCTTAGCAACTTTAAGACCTGTGGACTTCAACTCCCAGAATTCCCCAAGTCAACATGCTGGGTGGACAAGTTTGGGAGTTGCAGTTCACACATCCTAAAATTATTATGTTTGAGAAACACCAATCTACATGCAGGGAGTAACATTCTATATTATTATCAAGAAAACTTCATGGACCTGATCATAAGGTCATCCAAGAACTGAGCTTAATTTGAAGGTGACTTTAACATCATCTATTAAGCAAGTGTATTTGTGGGTTTTTTTTCTTCCAGATTTCTAACATGAGTTATCCAGGGTATCCACCTGCGAGCGGGTATCCACCTGCGAGCGGGTATCCACCCGCGGGTGGTTATCCCCCAGCAAGCGGTTATCCACCTGCTGCTCCGGGTAAGTTAGTTTTGTTTTTTTAATTTATTTAAGATCTGGTTGTTAGAACAGTTGGATGGCAATTGACCCATAACAAAAGAGATAGATAAAGGGAATAATGGGTGCAGAAAAGATGTGATTGAATGTCACCATGGATTCCCAAAGAAGAGCACAAGATAAGAGACTGCATAGTCCTGAACTGAATGGGGAATAGATTAGATTAGATTAGAGTAGAGTAGAGTAGAGTAGAGTAGAACAGAACAGAACAGAATAAGAATGAATAGAACAGAACAGAATATGGAATAGAATAAGAAAGAAGAGAACAGAACAGAACAGAACAGAATAGCAATGAATAGAATAGAATAGAATAGAACAGAACAGAATGTGGAATAGAATAAGAAAGAAGAGAAGAGAAGAGAACAGAACAGAACAGAATAGCAATGAATAGAATAGAATAGAATAGAATAGAATAGAATAGAATAGAATAGAATAAGAAAGAAGAGAAGAGAAGAGAAGAGAAGAGAAGAGAAGAGAAGAGAAGAGAAGAGAAGAGAAGAGGGAAGAGACCTTGGAGTCTTCTAGTCCATCCCCCTGTTCAAGAAGGAGAACCTATACCCTTTCAGACAAGTGACTGTCTAGTCTCTTCTTTTTTTTTTTTTTTTATTGAAATTTTTCAAAAATTTTACAAATAAACATCCCCCCCCTCCCAAACCACCCCACCCTCCCCCCCCCGACTTCCCAGAACTGAATATAGGATTATTTAACAAATTTTAAAAAATAACGTTTACAATTTATAAGATAATTAATAGAAATAATAAAGATCATAATAATAATATATATAATAATATGTATAATAATAATATGCATAACATAAGCTTTAAAATGAATAATATGTACTAAGAAAGAGAGAAAAAAAAAAGGAAAAAGAAAAGAGAGAGAGAGAGAAAAAAGAAAAAAGTAGACGAAAAATAGAACATATATATATAAAAAATATATAAGTAATAATACGTAAAGAAAAAAGGAAGAAAGAAAGAAGGAAAAAACAATCAGTACAAGTTATAAAAAAGCTAAATGGTATTTTTCCATATCCAAATTATATTGTATGAAATTTATCCATTTTTCCCATACTGCAAAGAATTTCTCTTGAGATTGCTACTTTAAAAAAGCCGAAATCTTTGCCATTTCTGCCAGATACGAAACTTTGTAAAACCACTCTTGCAAAGTAGGCAAGGATTCCTTCTTCCAATATTGCCCTATTAACAGCCTAGCGGCTGTAATCAAATTTAACATCAATATAACCTCCTTAGCATCACAATCAGTAACAATACCTAATAAAAATAATTGCGGAGTAAATTTTACCCTCCGTTTAAAAATTCTTTGGATATTCAACCATATCTTAATCCAAAAAGCTTTTATATGCTTACACGTCCACCAAGTATGATAATAAGTAGCATCCAAATGTCCACATCTCCAGCATTTCGGCTGCAGATTAGGGTACATAATGGACATTTTCTTTGGATCAAGGTGCCGTCTATAAAACATCTTATAAAAATTCTCTCTTAAATTTTGCGCTTGTGTGAATTTAACATTTCTTATCCAAATAAGTTCCCAGGTATCCATTGAAATCGTTTCACCAATATTCTGTGCCCATTTAATCAGACAATCTTTAACTAATTCAGGTTCTGAGTCCAATTCCACTAAAACCCCATAAACTCTCTTAATATGGGTTGGCCTTTGATCTCTTACTTGTTTTAAAAGAGCTTCATCTTCTCTAAGCCAGCCCATTTTACAATCAATCTTCCATCTGTCCACTATTTGTCTGTATTGGAACCATGAATAAGTTAAATTTTCATGCGTTAATTCTTCCAAAGATTTTAAATGCCAATCTTGGCCATCCCATCTAAGTAACTGTGCATAAGAGACCATATCCATATTAACCCCTTTCCTTATGCCTTCTATGGCATGCCGAGGTCTAGCCCATAATGGTATTTTGAAGTCACTTTTATAATACTTTCTCCACACTCTAAGCAAAGAGATTCTTATAATATGAGACTTGAAAACCCAATCCACTTTTTTATTAAATATTAAATAGGCATGCCATCCAAAAAGTAAGTCCCAACCTTGTCTAGTCTCTTCTTAAAAACCTCCAGTGATGGAGCACCCACGATTTCTGGAGGCAAGCCGTTCCACTGGTTAATTGTCCTTTAAGTTAGAACGTTATAGCTTTAGTCTGTCAAGATTCAGTCTATTAGTCTAAGCAAATGAAGTTCTGGATTCGATTGGAACTTGGCTTAGGCCTGACAAAAAATAAAATACAGAATAACAGAGTTGAAAGGGACCTTGGACGTCTTCTAGTCCAAAATGCTGATGCTGGAGACCCTATACCATTTCAGATCAAGGACTATTCCATCTTCTTAAAAACTTCCAGTGATGGAGCAGACACAACTTCTTCTTTGTAGGTCTTCAGGGAGAAAGCTTGAGCTAATCTTCTTCATTCAAGAATTTAGTACCATGAGTTTCTTTGCTAGGAGTACTACTGTATTCTATATGTTTTTAGCATCTCTGACGCCAGTTATTTATCCTTGAGGAAAGGAACAACTCAGAGCAGAATGTAAATAATTAGCGAAGAAGGAGTATATCTAGTTTCATGAACAGGTATCAGAACAGCTGTTTGGGCTAGCATCATTTCAGTGCCTCACCTAATATTCAGCTAGGTTGTCTGTTTTCACTAATTTGTGTGCTTTAACTTCCAGGCAGTAATCCCTGGGGTGCCCCCAGCTATCCCCCCACGAACCCTCCTCCAATTGGATTAGAAAATGTTGGAAACTATGCTAATCAGTTCAATCCAGATTATATGGCAGGCATGGTGAGTAACTCCAGTTTGAAACTGAAGTTTCTTAGTGTTTCATCTGAAGCAAATTGTGGAAATTGTGATTCCCCCCCAGTTTTGCCCTCTGTTTGTCTCTATCATCTTACGGAGTTAGGCAACCTCTAAATCTAATAAATAGGAGTGATATGTCTAGATCCTGGAATTTGGCCATTGTTGGGGCTATTATATCTGGGCTGTAACCCAAAAATTTGGCACCAAACATTTAAGGGAGATCTTAAGATTATTAAGATCTCCCTTAAAGTCATCATCCCTTGGGATGATGCCAAAGATGCTGTGAATAATCAAAACTGCTGGAAAACTCTTGCTGTCCACATGATGATGATGAAGGAGAAGGAGGAGGAGGAGGAGGAGGAGGAGGAGGGGAGGAGGAGGAGGAGGAGGAGAAGGAGAAGGAGGAGAAGAAGGAGAGAAGGAGAAGGAGAAGGAGAAGGAGAAGGAGAAGAAGAAGAAGAAGAAGAAGAAGAAGAAGAAGAAGAAGAAGAAGAAGAAGAAGAAGAAGAAGAAGAAGAAGAAGAAGAAGAAGAGAAGGAGAAGGAGAAGGAGAAGGAGAAGGAGAAGGAGAAGAAGAAGAAGAAGAAGAAGAAGAAGAAGAAGAAGAAGAAGAAGAAGAAGAAGAAGAAGAAGAAGAAGAAGAAGAAGAAGAAGAAGAAGACGGATACTATCTAGTTGTCTAACTGAGTTAGACATCAAGATAGTAATCAAGAAGTTCAGAAAATGCTTTCCCCTACAATCTGAGAGTTGCCTGCAACTTTGCAGTGGATATTATGACAGTCCTATCATTGTTGTTGTCATCATGTCAAAATTCCGATTGACGAACCCACCCATTGAGACGATCCAATCTCTTAATGCAAAACTTGGCTCTTGGCTTGCAAGCTTGAGATCTGCACAAAGAAAGGAGCACGAACACACGAACACACACACACCAAACTAAACCATGAAAAGCAGGCAGGAAATTGTCCAAACACGAGGCCCCTGGAGCAGCATCAAAACGAAAGCAAAAAAAACTCAGTGGTCTTAGAAAAGGTGCAAATGAGAGAGAGATTCCCTTGAAGACACGGTGCTTAAAGCGAAAAGTAGCTACTTCCTGCCCCTATTTGCACCCTGAGAAAGCACCCTCACAAACACATACCTTGGGGTGGGGGTGATCCCCCTCCAACGAGGTTTTGGGGAAGCCCCCTGTTGCAAGCTGAGCTGGTGCATGCTTGCCTTGCAAACTTGGAGACTTGCACAAAGGAAGCACGAGGCCCAGCTGGGGTGCTGGGAGGGAGAGAGGAGGAAAGTGAGGAAGAAGAGGAGGATGAAGAAAAAGTAGCAGGAGGAAGAAGAGGAGGAGGCAGAAGAAGAGAGAGCACAAGAAGCAGGAGGAGGAAGAGGAGGAAGGCTACGTACCTCAGATGTTGCAAGCCAGTTGCAAGTGCAGCCGCTGAAGAACCTTAGCACTGAGCAATATGGCTTCTGTCTTGCCACTCTTCCACCCCTTCCTAGACCCCTGCAGACTCGCCACATGCCTCCAGCTGTGTGGCCCAGTTCCTAACTAGCCAAGGCCCAGTGTCAACGCTGCAAATATTGTATATTCTTGCTTTTGACAATATGCAGAACTGTCTAGTATTTATGGGGTTAATACAGAGCAAAAGGGGGGTGGGGTTAAAACCCGGGGAAAGAAAGAGGAAACAAACCTTTGACCTTCACACTTATTGGATAATGTGATATATGACGGCTAATTTAGGGAGGGAACATGCTGATAATTTAACTGCTCAGAGGAAGAGAACTTAGATCTTAGCATGATGTTATGGTTCCGGCTAATGAAACACTTCAAAGAACTTCCAGGCATTGATTTTCCTAAAAGTCAAACATCATGCTTAGATCTTAGCATCCCTACGTTATGCCTGTGCCGACATTTTGTAACAATAAATGACTTTTAGGAAAATCAATGCCTGGAAGTTCTTTCGTTAGCCAGAACCATAACACCCGGTACTTGTCTGCAGACCGGAGGTTGGGAGCCCCTGCTCTAGAAGTTCAAAAGAATATATATTGGAGACTCCTTCCATATTATCCTCATACCAACAGCCCCTTGACATTGGTTGGGGTGAGAGAGACGGGCCCAATCTGAACTTCCATTACTGAGCTTGGTCTGGGCTGGCCCCAGTTCTAGTCCAGCTTCTTAACAACTGGGCCGTGTTTGTGTGGCGATCTCAAAGGGTGCTTTTTTCAAGAGGCTTCTCTTTGTGTGTGTGTTTTTCCTTGAAGGCATTTCGCTTCTCCTCCAAGACGCTTCTTCAGTGAGAATGGAAGAGAAGCGAAACGTCTTCAAGGGGGGGGGGGAACCCACCGTTGCCTTTTGGAAAAACACCATGACCCGGAGAACTGAGCACCTCCATAGACACTTGTGTGGAGAGTCACCCAGGCAGCTTCTCCACACAATAAAATCAAGAGAAACGAAAACGTTCATCTCCTCCCTTTTCCCCTCCTTTCCTACTATACGCAGACAGTGTTGTCCTCTGGACCACATGGTGGAGAGGTTTGCTGGCGCTGTAAATTTGTCTTCCTTCTTTGAATACCTGGTGATGTTTTTCTTTCAGGCTTCCAATATGACTACAATGTTTGGTGGTGCCAATGCGCCACAGGGAATGTATCCTTCAGCTCCTGGAGGCTACCCTCCTACAGCTCCAGGGGGGTTCGGACAACCACCACCGCAGGGTCAGCAGCCTTACGGCATCTACCCTCCACCTCCCGGAGGAAATCCCCCAACAGGGATGCCATCTTATCCAGCATACCCAGGTAGCCCGATGCCTCCAGCAGCCACCCAGCAGCCTCAACCAGTGCCATATCCTGGGCAGCAGCCCATGCCAAGTTATCCATCCGGTCCAGCTGTTAATCCTTCGATGCCATCCTACCCGGGTTCTTCCATGCCCATCATCACCCCTGGAGTCGTAAGGACCTTTTGTGTATATTATGACATTCTCCTTTTAGCAGGAAGGGGAAAGAGGGCGGATGTTAAATCTTAATGTCAGCTGTTGGCCTAGCGAGCTCAAAATCAAGGAATCTTCAAGGCTCTGAAGTTCTGTAAAACAGAGGTCCACAACCTTTTGGGCACCAGGGATCGGTTTGCTGCAACACGGAATGATTCCCAGCCTAAGTCAAGGATAATGGGTTTTTGCCTATCTAGGAGGTTGGGTTGGGCTCATCTCTTGTTTTTATCTTATGATAAAGATGAGAACTGTACAAATGATCAACTAGCTGGTCGTAATAAGCCAAACCTACAGAATAAAGAATAATAGAGTTGGAAGAGAACTTGTAGATCTTCTAGTCCAACCCGCTGCTCAAGCAGGAAACCCTATTCCATTCTGGATAAATTGCTGTCCAATCTCTTCTTAAAAGTCTCCAGTGTTGGAGCACCCACAATTTCTGGAGGTGAGCCATTCCTCTGATTAATTGTTCTAACTGTCAGGAAATTTCTCCTTAGTTCTAGGTTGCTTCTCTCCTTGATTAGTTTACATCCGTTGCTTCTTGTCCTGCTTTCAGGGGCTTTGGAGAATAGGTTAACCTCCTCTTCTCTGTGACAACCCCTCAAATATTGGAAGATTGCTATCATGTCACCCCTAGTCCTACCTTTAGTTCCTCAAGCGTATGATTAATTGATATCTTCTGCCTTGAATAGCAAGATATATTTAGTTGTCAAAAATTGGCTGTGGGATGAGAAACATTTGTTTTTCCTTGCATTACTACAGTCTGGAAAGCGAGGCACAGTCCATGATGCGCCATCGTTCGATCCTTTGAGGGATGCAGAAGTGTTGAGGAAAGCTATGAAAGGGTTTGGTGAGTAATCAACGTCTCACCTCTTTTCTTTTCATTATGGAGATCCAGCACTCTCCATCCTTGGTTTCTCCAACTGATACACTTGGATGAACCTTAAGAACTAAATAGGTTATCTTCCTGTTTAGGAACCGATGAACAGGCCATCATCAACTGCCTTGGAAGTCGCTCGAACAAGCAACGACAGCAGATTATGCTCTCATTCAAAACAGCTTATGGGAAGGTGAGACCCATAATATCATTACTCTATTGCTCTTTTACCTACTTAGGGCCTGTATTTGCATCCAGCTAAGTGGCAGCATCTAGTCAGCTTCGCTTGACCTTGAAAAATTAAGCGTTCAGATCTGGTTAGAATGCAAATCGGAAACACGGGTATAAAAACGGGCAGAGAAGAAGAAGAGAGAGCAGCTGAAGCTTGAGTGAAGCAAGCAAGCTGCTCTCTACAGCTGTCCTTTAGCTTGGTCCAGAACCTGTAGCTGATGTAGAACACGTCTTCCAGTTTGCTGAAGGGAATATCCAGTGGTGGACTGTTGAAACGATGCCACTTGTAACAGTCACATTTTCAGTTTTGCTCGGGATGCTTAAGGTTGTGAAGGATCATCTGACCACTGTTGTGTGCATGTGAACTCAACAGATGTACATCCAATGGCTCAGACAATTTCAGAAGGTCCCAAGAAACGTAACGGGTTAGCACATTACAAAGGTTAATCTATAATTGTCGTGAAGATGCTGACATACTGCTAATATTAGTAGCCAAAGTAGCAGCTCTATTAACAAGTGTAGCAGTGAGGAACAAAAGCTTCCCTGCTCCATCCCTGTCCATTTTTCTACCCTGATCCTGCCCAGAATCTGAGAAATGAGCTGAGCTAGATCAGTGGTTCTCAACCTTTTTAATGCTGCGATCCCCAACCGGTCGTAAATCGAGGACTACTCAACCGGTCGTAAGTTGAGGACTACTCAACGGGTGCAGCACCGTTTGCAGAATGGGACTTTTGGCAGGCTCAGCAGGGCAGAGACAGCCTGGACAATTCCTATTGGCTTTTGAAAGCCAATAGAATTAGACTCTATTCAAGAGGTTCTATTCTATTGGCTTTCAAAAGCCAATAGAATAAAAGGGAGTAGCACAGCTAAGGAAAAGGGGGGGAAATGGCGGACTGCGTTGTTTGGCGACCCCCATAAAATGGTTGTTTGACCCCAAATGGGGTCCCAACCCACAGGTTGAGAACCACTGAGCTAGATAGTGTGATTCCCAGTCCACAGAAATTTTCCACTTCTATTGGGGATGAGTCTGTGTTGTCTGCCTCTCAAACTGAAGTGCAAATGGTTCCTGTACTGTGCAATGTTTCTGGAAATCCATTCATCCTCTGGCACCATTCGAAGGGTGTTCATCCTAAAGTGGATAGCTAAATGTCTATAGAGATTCCCAGTCTGCATGCAGACAACACAGCCTCATCCTCAACCGCCTGCACCTGTCTTCAACGGTGAAGGGACCCAGGGCAGAAAACATCCTGTAGCCAAAATGGCTCCACACACATATGCACGGCTCAGGTGACTCTTAGGACACAGGTAAACCTCCAGGTGGCCTCAACAACTCTCTAAAACAGTGATTCTCAATCTTTTTAATGCCGCGACCCCCAACCAGTCGTAAGTCGAGGATTACTCAACCGGTCGTAAGTCGAGGACTACTCAACTGGTGCAGCACCGTTTGCAGAATGGGACTTTTGGTGGGCTCAGCAGGGCAGAGACAGCCTGGACAATTCCTATTGGCTTTTTGAAAGCCAATAGAATTAGACTCTATTCACGAGAGTCTATTCTATTGGCTTTCAAAAGCCAATAGAATAAAAGGGAGTAGCACAGCTAAGGAAAAGGGGGAAAAAATGGCGGACTGCGTTGTTTGGCGACCCCCGTGAAATGGTCATTCGACCCCAAATGGGGTCCCGACCCACAGGTTGAGAACCACTGCTCTAAAAGAAGGCAAATGACCAGTTTTTCTGCAAGGAGGATAAATCCTTCCATTCCCCACCATCCGGTCAGAGCTGAAGAAACAGATGAGAAGTGAAACATCTTCCAAGGAAAAACAAGGAAGGCCAGTTGCCTCATGAAAATGCATCTTTCAGATCTCCAGATCTGAAAGTCCACCAGAGTCTGTTCCCCAAACAAACTGAACATAATTGATTGGCCGGAATCAAGTGACAATGGGAGGGCCAGGGAAAAGGGGAATGTTTGATAATGCTGTTTGCGCACAAAAACATTAGAATTGGCTTCGCTACTTATGTATCCATGTCAGCTCAGTAAATTATGCTCTTGGCAACACAAAAAAATGGCCCAGAAGTCTTTATTTGCCTGAATGTATTGAGTGGAACTGTTGACACCCTTGTTGTGCAGGACTCTTGTCTCTGAGCTTTCATATCCTTGAAATATAAATATTTGCCATAGAAATGGATAAATTTGGAGTTTGCTTCTGCTAAATGTCGTTAATTAAGGTACAGTTCCAAACCACGCTTCCTTCTCTGTTTTTGAACTGATTAGGATTTGATCAAGGACCTGAAGTCAGAACTGTCCGGAAACTTTGAGAGGACAATTTTGGCAATGATGAAGACACCTGTCCGCTTTGATGTTCATGAAATCAAAGACGCTATCAAGGTTTGTATCAAAAAGAAAGCGATGCCTCTATCGACGCGTTGACCTTTTCAACCTTTGTCTTTCTTTCCTGTCTCCTTCCAAACTTATCCTCAAAATAATATTTTTCTCTTGGCTTTTTTGCTGCCTCTCAGCAGAAAGGCCTTGCATTCCTTCAGTCATGGTTTGGCTTAGCTTCTCTGCATCGGTCACACATCCCTGTCAGGTTATTGAAAGTACTGTGCAAATGAGGTGCAAAACACTTGAATCGTAGTTTCGCATTTTAAATGCCCTGTGTCGGCTAAGAAATGTCCCATCACAAAAGCAAAGCTACTATTTTGAACACAAAGTGGAGTGTTTTGAATTCACTATGACTTGATCTCGTCTGTTTTGTGAATTCCTAATGGTTTGCGTGTGTGTGTGTGTGTGTGTGTGTGTGTGTGTGTGTGTGTGTGTGTATGTAGAGATAGAGAGTGAGGGAGAGAGTGAGATACAGGTAGATAGATAATAGAAATAAATATGACAGAAATACATAGAAATATATAGAGGATGGATGGATGGATGGATGGATGGATGGATGGATGGATGGATAGATAGATAGATAGATAGATAGATAGATAGATAGATAGATAGATAGATAGATAGATAGATAGATAGATAGATAGATAGATAGATAGATACAAGGCTTTTTTTCTCATACAATGCCTAGAACAGAGTTCTGGCACCTTTTTTAGATGGAACCTTGTAGGATAGGCAAGGTGGGTTCTAAGACGTGAGTGAGTTCCGGCACTTTTTTTTTCTTCAAAAAAAGCACTGAATAGATAGATAGATAGATAGATAGATAGATAGATAGATAGATAGATAGATAGATAGATAGATAGACAGACGGGTGGACGGGTGGGTGGATAGATGGATGGATAGATAGATAATAGATAGATAATAGATAGATAGATAGATAGATAGATAGATAGATAGATAGATAGATAGATAGATAGATAGATAGATAGATAGATAGATACAAGGCTTTTTTTCTCATACAATGCCTAGAACAGAGTTCTGGCACCTTTTTTAGATGGAACCTTGTAGGATAGGCAAGGTGGGTTCTAAGACGTGAGTGAGTTCCGGCACTTTTTTTTTCTTCAAAAAAAGCACTGAATAGATAGATAGATAGATAGATAGATAGATAGATAGATAGATAGATAGATAGATAGATAGATAGATAGATAGATAGATGGGTGGACGGGTGGGTGGATAGATGGATGGATAGATAGATAATAGATAGATAATAGATAGATAGATAGATAGATAGATAGATAGATAGATAGATAGATAGATAGATAGATAGATAGATAGATAGGCGGGTGGACGGACAGACGGATGAATGGATGGATAGGTGGATGGGTGGATGGATGGATAGATAATAGATAGAAAGATGGATAGATAGATAGATGGATAGATAGATAGATAGATAGATAGATAGATAGATAGATAGATAGATAGGCAGGCAGGCAGGCAGGCAGACAGGCAGACAGACAGGCAGACTGTTTGTGACTGAAGGTATAAAGGCACTGAGAAAAGGGACACATGACCGTTGAAGCATCCCCCAGGGTCACCTGATCAAAATTCAGACACTTGGCAACTGGTTCATATCTATGAAGGTCGCAGCGTCCCAGGAATCATGCGATCCCCTTTTGCGACCTTCTGAGAAACAAAGACAATGGGGAAGCTGGCAAGAAAAATCGTAAAATGGGGGTAAAACTCACTTAACAAACGTCACACAATTTGGGGCTCAGCTGTGGCTGTACGTCGAGGACTTCCTGTATGTGGAGAGAAGGGGAGAGCCGGTGGGGGAACTCCTGCGTAATAACCTGGCTTTCTTGCTCCTTCGCTTAGGGTGCCGGCACAGATGAGGCCTGCTTGATAGAGATCCTGTCCTCTCGCGATAACAAGCACATTCAGGAAATCAGCCGAGCCTACAAAGTGGGTGAGTTTTATTGGTCAGAATCAGCCCTGATCTGATCTCCAGCAGAGAAGCTGGTATGCTGAGAACTGAAAAACTGAGTTTTGGACATCAGTCTTGAATTCCTCTGGAGATAGGCTGGGGGAGAATAGGATGGGATGGGATGGGATGGAATAGGATGGGATGGGATGGGATGGGATGGAATGGAATGGAATAGAATAGAATAGAATAGAATAGAATAGAATAGAATAGAATAGAATAGAATAGAATAGAATAGAATAGAATAGAATAGAATAGCATCAGGATAGGATAGGATAGGATAGGATAGGATAGGATAGGATAGGATAGGATAGGATAGGAGAGGAGAGGAGAGGAGAGGAGAGGAGAGGAGAGGAGAGGAGAGGAGAGGAGAGGAGAGGAGAGAATAGAATAGAATAGAATAGAATATAGAATAGAAGTAGAGTAGAATTGGAATAGAAATAGAGTAGAGTAGAGTGAAAGAAAGAAGAGAAAGAGAAAAGAAAAAGAAAGAAAAAGAAAAAAGAAAGAAAGAAAAAGAAAAAGGGAAAGAAAAAGAAAGAAAGAAAAAGAAATAGACAAAAAAGAGAAGGAAGGAAGAAAAAGAAAGAAAGAAACAGAAAAGAAGGAAGGAAGGAAGGAAGGAAGGAAAGAAAGAAAGAAAGAAAGAAAGAAAGAAAGAAAGAAAGAAAGAAAGAAAGAGTTAGTAATGGCTTCCTTGAGCTCAGAGTCTGCTACCAGAGTTTGCTACTCTACGGCTGATATAGAAGAGAAATTGTAGGCGGGCAGTTCTTTTTCAGAGGCTGGGAAAGTGGCTAGATCAGGCTAACTGACCAGGTTGTGAAATCTACTGGAGAAATTTGAATTCAGATGGAAAGAGGCAGCCAGAGTTCTCCTGAACGGGAAAAATGGCTTGTTCCTAAGCTCTGCCATCAGAGTTCAGTGGAAGAAAACGTCTCCTTGCTCAAAGACGAGGCGGTCATGTGAACACAAGGGTGTAGTGAGAAATTCCATTTGGAAATTTCTTTAATGCTCTCCTGTCACCACTTTGGAAAAACAGTAATTTTTGAAGGGTAAAATATAAAACATATACCACATGTTCATGAAGTGTTTCCACCCTAAACCACTTTAACCTATAAATGTATTTACACTGCCTTTCTTCTCCTTTTCTGTATCTATTCCCTAATGTTGAGATAATATCGCTAAAAAAAATTACAATTTAAAACTGACTTTTCCCTGGTCTTTCACAGAATTTAAGAAAACTCTGGAAGAAGCCATTAGAAGTGACACATCTGGCCATTTCCAGAGACTTTTAATTTCACTTTCTCAGGTATGCAGAGGATTATTAAATATCATTTGATGACGGCTTACTCTCATCTTTACAGATGTATAACTTGACAAACTCATGGACTAGAAATTTGGATCTAACTTCTAACAAGAGCTGAATATATTTTAGCTTCATTAAGATCCATAGGGGACATAAAGGGGGACAATATTCCTGGTTTTCTAGCCATCATTAGCCAAAGTATTCTGATCGTGGCTTGTTTCAGAATTTAAATCTACTGAGGTCCCAACGAATGACAAGGACAGATTCTGTTTTGACAAAATCAAGAAACAATCTGATTGGGATTTGAACCATTGTGGAGTCCTTGGTCCTCTCTGATCTTGATTGTTTTCTTGCAGACATTTCATGACCCAATTACGTAACAACATCAGTAGATGGGTAATGAAACATCTGCAAGAAAAAAATAAAGATCGGAGAGCACCAAGGACTCTACAATTCAACTCTGAGCTACAGATAGACCCTTATATTGGTATTCAGCTCATTTTCATAACCCTAATCCAAGGATTGGTCAAAGCAAATGGTGAAGTTTAGTTGACCTTCACTGACCTTGAAAAAAAGCTAAGCAGAATAGGACCTGTAGTAAAATATCCCAGGAAACAATCTTGATTCTGATTTGCAGCCAAGAAAAACAACAAGTATGGGTCTGTGTAGAAGTTAAGCTCTACTTGAAGGAACCCTCCACTTTTTATCTGTCATCCATCAATTAATTGCATTTCAGTTAAACATCTATGGAGATTCTCTGTCATTTGGGCCGTGGTTGTCCCAAAGCTGCTTTTTTCAGGAAGCAACTGGACTTTCTTGTTTTTCTCTGAAGACGTTTCGCTTCTCATCCAAGAAGCTTCTTCCACTCTGGCTGGACGGTGGGGAATGGAAGGATTTATACTCCTTGCAGACAGCTGGTCATTTTCATCCTTTTAGAGAGTCGTTGAGGCCACCTGGGGGTTTATCTGTGTCCTCAGGGTCACCTGAGTGGTGCAAATGGCTGTGGAGCCTTCTTGGCTGCAGGGTGTTTACTGCCCTGTCTCTCTTCATTGTTGGAGACAGGCACAAGCTGTTGGGAATTAGTCTGTGATGTCTGAATCTCAAACTGAAGCACAAATGGTTCCTGTAATCTGCAATATTTTCTGGAAATCCATTCATACTCCAGCACCCTTTGAAGGGTGTTCATCCCAAAGTGCATAGCTAAATGTCTTTGGAGATTCTCAGTCATCCAGATCATGGCTGTCCCAAAGGTGCTTTTTCAGGAGACAACTGTTAGACCTTATTGTGAGATTTTGGTAGTCTGAAGGCAAATCTCTTAAAGACTTTGCGTGACTTCCCTCTCTCCTTTTTGATCAAGATAAGATTGAGAAGTGGACAGAACACGTTGCTTGTATATGCAAAAAAAAAAGAGAGGCCCTTTTTCAATATGTCATTGTGTAAGGATGACATCACCAAAGAAACACATATACATGCTAGAAAGGATAAACCCGTTGGCTTGACCAGTAGCCACATCAATAGAGCTCTAAGTATATGTGTAGGTGCAGTGTATGTGTTTGAAATTATAGTTTGTGTTTTAATAGCCATTTTGAAAAAAATTTCCAGGGCAACCGAGATGAAGGCAACAATGTGGACATGTCCCTTGTCCAGAGCGATGTTCAGGTTAGTGTACAGCTGATGTATACTTTCTTATGTACATTTTAAAAAATTTGCAGAATAAAATTGCTGTCACTGAGTGTCACATTCTTTTTTTAAAACACCAAGAAGCTCCTTTTTGCACTGAGTATTTAATAAAATTTAAAACCAGTTTTAATGGTATGTATTCCCTCCTAAGCATTGTTGTTATTGTTATTTGTGAAGTCATGTCCGACCCATCGCGACCCCATGGACAATGTTCCTCCAGGCCTTCCTGTCCTCTACCATCTTCTGGAGTCCATTGAAGCTCACGCCTATTGCTTCAGTGACTCCATCCAGCCACCTCCTTCTCTGTCATCCCCTTCTTCTATTGCCCTCAATCTTTCCCAGCATTAGGCTCTTCTCCAGTGAGTCCTTCCTTCTCATTAGGTGGCCAAAGTACTTGAGTTTCAACTTCAGGATCTGGCCTTCTAAAGAGCAGTCAGGGTTGATCTCCTCTAGGACTGACTGGTTTGATCACCTTGCAGTCCACAGGACTTGCAGGAGTCTTCTCCAGCACCAGAGTTCAAAGGCCTCCATTCTTTTGTGTTCAGCCTTTCTTATGGTCCAACTTTCACAGCCATACACTACAACTGGGAAAACAATGGCCTTGACTATACGTAAGTTTGTTGGCAGGGTGATGTCTCTGCTTTTTAGTATGCTGTCTAGATTTGCCATAGCTTTCCTCCCCAGGAGCAAGTGTCTTTCAATTTCTTGGCTGCAGTCCCCATCTGTGGTGATCTTGGAGCCCAGGAAGATAAAATCTGTCACTACCTCCATTTCTTCCTCATCTATTTGCCAGGAATTGAGAGGGCCGGATGCCATGATCTTGGTTTTCTTAATGTTGAGTTTCAAGCCAACTTTTGCACTCTCCTTCTTCACCCGCATCAAGAGGCTCTTTAGTTCCTCTTCACTTTCTGCCATTAGAGTGGCATCATCTGCATATCTTAGGTTGTTGATATCTCCTAAGCATAATTTAACATTTATCTGTTTTATTTCCTTGTCCACCAATCCTTCCTTGATGCTTTTGCCCCTCTTAGGCTCTCTATGCAGCAGGAGAAAGCCGACTCGGGACCGACGAATCCAAATTCAACGCGATTTTGTGCACAAGAAACCGAAGCCACCTAAGAGCCGGTAAGCGGATCAATCTCAAGTCAAGGCGACACCCCGAGTTGGAGGGGGGGGTTTCTTCCACTTCAACATTTTACCATTTTAAAATAGGAACCTTTATTTTTTTTAATTGTCGAAGGACTTATTTTTTGGGGGGGGGCGAGGAAGCTTTGAGAGTTTGCATCTTCAATTTAAATTTACCAACAAAGAATTAAGAAGGATTTTCATTTTAGTTAAAGGGAATTAAGTTCAACACACAAAGAGTCGGTGGCAGAAATGAAGGCTCCCAGATCAGAAGGCAAAAGCGGAAGCAGTATTTCTGATGGTTTGGTTGTGTTGATCAGAAATTGGCGGTCCGCTTTGAAGAGGTACAAAAGGAAGGCGACGCTTTTGTAGAAAAACGGTCTCGGTTGAGGGGCATCAGCTGAAACCCCTCCCCTTTCCTACGGATCTAATAGAAATATGGAGAGAAATGGGGATCTCTTCCTTTGTGATGTCCCGTTGGGCTCTTTTCTTATTTCTTACGACGTCATGCTCGTTTGCGGTTCTCCCTGCTTTTCCAGAGCTTATGAACTTGAAATGCTTAGGGCGATGTAGATTATTCAAAACAGCTAATGCTAAACCCATCCCCTATATATATATATATATATATATATATATATATATATATATATATATTATTAAGAATATTAAAAACAAAATAGTGATTCCTGGGTAGACTCATATTAAACAATAAAATATACGAACACCAGGAAGTTATAAAACTATAAAAAGTTTTAATAAAACCAGAATAAAACTAAAGCTTGGTTTTATTCTGGTTTTATTAAAACTTTTTATAGTTTTATAACTTCCTGGTGTTCGTATATTTTATTGTTTAATATATATATATATATATATATATATATATATATATATATATATATATATAACAGTGGTGGTGAACCTCTCTGTGGGCACACGCACCATCACCCCAGTCCTAGACCTTCAGCTGGGTTTTATAAAACCTTTTCGCTTTAGGCCTCCGCCGCCATGTACAAAAAAAAAAAAAGGTTCAATCAATCAGTCAAGTTCAACTTCTCGTGGGAAAAAAAAAGATCTTGCAAAGTTGGAATTGATTGATTGAACTTTTTAGTCCCACCCAGTCTGCCGTTACCACTGCAGCCACGCCTACCCAATGGGCCACACCCACCCAATGGGCCACACCCACCCGGCACTCCACGATGCATAAGTGGGTTTTGGGTTGCAGTTTGGGCACTCGGTCTCTAAAAGTTTCGCCATCACTGATATATAATATTTTATTGGTTTTCCAATTTTACATTGGAGTATTTAAAAAGCAATGTGGTGGCGGGGTTAATCAACAATTCAATAACAGAATCTTTAGTACAAATCTTAGGTTACATCATCAAACGTTTCTTCTCTTTTTCCCCTTAACATTTACTATTTCATACTCAAGCTAGTACATTTCTAACTGTGTCAACTCAAGGAAAGCATCATTATTACATTTATCGACACAGAAGTGGTGAATGCTCCAACACTGGAACTGGAGGGCCATTTGTCCGAAATGGTATAGGGTTTCCTGCCTGAGCAGGGGGTTGGACTAAATGACCTCCAAGGTCCCTTCCAATTTTATTATTATTATTATTACTATTATTACTATTATTATTATTATTATTATTATTATTATTATTATGAGCTTATACATACCTTAATTAGTCTTCATAAAACACTCCATATCCGGTTATAAATTTTTGCCTGTTCCAATTAACCTTTAATATCCATAGTTTTCAAGCTTTGGGTAATCAAAGTTTTCCTTATCTCCTTTCATAGCGAACTGTAATATCCAAAATACACATTTTACCTGTTTAAATGTAATCTTATTCTATTTCGTAAAATTTTTCTGTTTCCCACCATAATAAATCATCAACTTAATAATAAAATATCCCCTTAGATAGGGCAAAGCCATTATATATATATTGCCTGGGTTAATCAATAAATCAAACATATCCCTTTTGAAATGGGTTCATCTATGCTTCTCATAAAAGTCTTTTTAATCTAAATTGTGAAGGCTAGAAGACGAAAACGGCAAGTACAAAGTTGAATAAGTTTATCGGAAGTGTGGGTCCAGGAAGAATCACCCGGTGGAGGGATCTATCATGGATTGTCCTCCAGTTAGCAACCAAAACTGAGCCCAGATTTTCTGCTGTTAAGTGAGATGTTTGTCAAGCCCAATTTTATGGCCTCTGTTGCCACGGTTGTTAAGGAAATCACTGCAGTTGATAAGTTAGTAACACGGTTGTTAAGTGGCTGAACTGTTGTAAGTTGAGGACTACCAGTTTTTCAGCAACCCAGATGGGAAAGTCCATCCCCCAGGCTTATTTTTGGGGTAGAGCTTATATTAAGCCCACCCCAAAAAAATCAGGCTGGGTTTAATTTTCTGGGTGGGTCTTATTTTCGGGGAAATACGGTATGTTTCTGAATTGCAAGTCTTTACATGGCCACCAGATAGCAGCACAGAGTTATAGAGTTTTCTACATTGCTTTGCTGCCATCTAGTGATCATTGGGATTTTTTAAAAAAATACTTTTATCATATCATACATATGATGTGCCATGGCTTGCTCATCTCATAAGATGAGGAGTTCCATAGTAAGGAGAAGTCAAGGATGAAACTTTGGCAGCTACATGCCTCTGCGTTTCAATGTGCCTTTAGATTGATATGTGTGTGTGTGTGGAAATGTTACTTTCAAATGGGTAGATAGAGAAACAAAACTTCTTCAATTCAGCTGCAGACCGTGGGAGCCTGAAGCCTTGTCAAAGACACCAGAACAGATGTGGATTTGAAGCAGATGGTTCCCATAACAAAGTGGACTTGTTGATATGGATTACATAAGGTGTTGGGTTTTTAGCTGGGAAAACTGTTGTTTAAGTCTATGAATTGGTGTTGGAACCTCAGTTAGTTTTTCTTCGACATAACCAAGTAGTGTATTCAATAAACAATAAGCTTTCTGGAAATGAAACGAATCTGGAGTTTTATTTGGATTCTCGAGCTGGATGTTAACAGGAGACCTTTAAAAGATGTCACTTCTTGTAACATAGAATTACAGGACATTTATTTAAGATAGTCCTCTCTGTTGTGAAAATCGATTGCTGTATTTTCTGTGGATAGTGGTTACGAGTCCTTAAACTGAAACTTTGATGCAATTCTTTGGCGCATTTCTATTCAGTTCACTAGGTGAATTGTGTGGAGGTTTGTAGCCAAAATGCTTTTGTCTAGAACAAATATTGACATATCTTGGTCTCTTTCTGCAGTTTTCAATGAATACCAGCGAATGTGTAACCGGGATATTGAGAAGAGCATATGCAGAGAAATGTCGGGTGATCTTGAATCTGGGATGCTGGCAGTAGGTGAGTGATATCTTGGTGACTAGGACAAACCATTTATTGGTATTGTAGTTATTGATAAGTTTCCTACTTTTGATAGCTTATCCAATGAACAACCGGTTCTCTGTGTGGATGCCACTTCCAGAAGTCCATTCTGGGCTTGGGCAACAAAAAATTAGCTGCCGGTTCTGCTGAAGTGGTGCAAACTGGCTGAATCCCACCACTGGAGATAGTCTGTGCTTCATTCAAAAATTGTTAAATTCTACACAGTCCAGATAATGAACACTTGCAAGATCCTTGCTCCGAAACTACCAAAATCATGATTTTTCTCAGGTTGTACTTTCATAATTGCAGTAACCTGTTGGTTGGGTTTTCCAAATCCTGACTTCATCTTTTGATCTGTATCCAGAATGCTGTTTTTCATATTGTTCTGGACTCTTGGCATTTTTTCCATATCTCATGATTACTAATCATTACCCAAAGTCAGGGACAGGTTGTGTATGCACGAAGAACAACAATTTATGGAGTTGACACACTGTTCCTGGCATTTGGATATATGCATGTTTATTGCAAAGAGTTCAAGTCAGTTTCCAGTATTGCTGCATCTGATTTAATTCTCTGCTTGGGGTTCTGACTGGTTCTTCTGCACGGCAGAGTTTACCATCATAGTTTAGAGATTTTTAAACTATTCTCATTTTTTCAGTTCTTTGGGACCCACCTGAACCAGAATTACACCAGAAGTCAGTTTTATTAACAGCACTAAAATCTCTTCCTTTTTGTGGCTCCCTGTAAAACGTTTTTTTTTTTAAAGCTTACGTTTTAATTTGAATGTAGAGATGCTAATTATATTATAGCAATGGTCCTTTTAATTTAATTTAAGTTTTATTTTAGGTTGTGATTTTTGCAACTAATTGTCAAATGTTTTAACATTACGGATAGTCCTCAATTTACAACAATTGTAAAAGTCATAAGTCGCTTTGCAGCGATGCAGGCAGCGAGCAAATTTAATAATAAATAAAAGTTGCTTTTTTCAAGTTGCAACTTCAAATGGTTGATAAACAAATGGCTGTAAATCAAGAGCTGTCTGTAATTGTTGTTTTTCTTCTGTGTTTGTGCTGGGAAAACCTATAGAGGCATGATAAATACATTTATCACTTCTAGTAAATAAATAGTGAAACGAACTTGCTTTCAGAGATACTGCATTGAAAAACTTTCAGATAAAGGAGAAGAAAGTGGCATAAAGCATAATTCCTTATGATGAAAACATAAGTAGCTGCACAGGGTTTGGGGAAAATTTTAATTTTTTTTTGCTTTTCCCTGTACTTAATTGGCAGAAAACCTTTTTGCCTTAGCAACAGATTTGTTTCAAAGCAGAAGTGCTTAAATATGAAAGGATGAATTCCAAAATTTCACTGTGCCAAAGCAGGAAAAAAAAAAAAATTGAAGCCGTATGAGATTTGAGAAAGGAATCTTTTTTCTGATTATTTTTTAAGAAAAGAAAACCAGAAGATAACCTCTGTAGATGATTGTATCTTTTTGTGAAATTTGCCTAACTATAATTTTGATGTGCAGTTTGATTCTTGATCTGATTTATCTGCCATTGTGGCGTTGTTGGTAATACTCGTTTGTATTTTACCATGAGTTAGAATTTACCTTAACCTAGGAAAATGACAGTCTAAGCCAGGGGTAGACAACCTCGGCTCTTTTATGACTCATGGACTTCAACTCCCAGAATTCCTGAGTCAGCTATGCTGAGTCAGCTATGCTGACTCAGGAATTCTGGGAGTTGAAGTCCATGAGTCATAAAAGAGCCGAGGTTGCCTACCCTTGGTCTAAGCCATGAAATGAAGAAGGGTCCATCAAAATGATAGCCTTAAGAAAATTGCCTCTCAGCTGCAGTACCGCTATAATAATTGTGCCAGATTGGATTAATAAAATATTATATACAAAACATTGTTGGAGGTTTAAAATAGGTGATATAAATGACTGTATTGTGAAAATGTTTTGTTGTTGTTGACTTTCTGCCCTACCTACTGAATCTAATGAACAATCTGTGCTTCCCTTTGGCTTCCTTAAGGATTGTGTATCTGGTAATTGTGAGCAGTGTGGTTGCATTCATTTCTAGTATTTAGCTAGTGTGTAAGTTAAACCTGTGCCGTGTTCACCTGTGTGACCCATTTCAACGTGGTTCATGAAAAAAAGCGCATGTTGTTGTCTTACGTTTGCAGTGATATTCGCCTTGGTCCTTTCCCAAACAAGTAACAATAGAATCCACTGAGGGCATTTTGATCAATCAAGATGCTACATAAAGGGGGATGACATCGTTAATATCACTAAGTGGGGCCATTTCCTTTGACATTGCTGTGCTTGCCTGGTATGAATTTACGAAGCATCACTAATGGGTTATCTCAATTTTCTTTTGCAGTTAAGTGTATGAAAAATACACCGGCTTTCTTTGCAGAGAGGCTGCACAAGGCCATGAAGGTAACTAAACCCCAAACACTTAAAAAAAAAATCATGTGCTCAAATATTCAAGGGGTCTAGGCTTCATTAAGAAAAATCTGTTAGCTTACTACAGGGGTACAAAATGTAGATGTAAGTTGGCCTTGCAGGTTTAAGACCAGGTTAGCTACAAATACGTGTCACAGTAGCTCAGAGATAGATAGATAGATAGATAGATAGATAGATAGATAGATAGATAGATAGATAGATAGATAGATGTAGGTAGGTAGGTAGGTAGGTAGGTAGGTAGGTAGGTGGATGATAGAAAGATGGATCGATGGATGATAGGTAGATAGATAGATAGATAGATAGATAGATAGATAGATAGATAGATAGATAGATAGGTGGGTGGGTGGGTGGGTGGGTGGGTGGGTGGGTGGGTGGGTGGGTGGATGGGTAGGTAGGTAGGTAGGTAGGTAGGTAAGATGATAGATAGATAGATGATAGATAGATAGATAGATAGATAGATAGATAGATAGATAGATAGATAGATTACATTACATTACATTACATTACATTACATTACATCACATCAGCTGGTTAGCTGATAAATTATTACCTTGACATAGGAGCTAGGTAAATACTTCAGTGGAGTTTCCCTACTGAAAAGTCCTATTAAAAACCCAGATGTTTCTTATTGCGGCTTGCAAACCTACTGGGACAGAGTAGTGTTTTAGTTTAGGTGTGTCTTCCAGACATTGGTTTGGATATGGGATTGTATGGACCTTTTTTAGTTCATGGACAAAACCCTCTTGTTGGTTAGCAGGGGTGCAGAGCTCAGCTTGTTTTTTCAATGGAATTGAACCGTTTATGTGTTATGAAAAAAAAAACAAAATCCTGAAGCGCATCTCAAAAGCCTGGCATTTGAACAGGGGCCTGTAGACTTTTTATATCCACTGTAGTTGGGTCATGAAACATCTGCAAGACAACCATCAGAATGACCAAAGGACTCCACAGTTCATTCCAGGAGGCGGTGAATCTTCAGCTGAGGATCGCAATCTGAACAGGACTCATTTTTTTTCTGGCCCTTTCTGTGATTTTTTAGGGAGCAGGAACCAAGGACCGGACTCTCATACGCATCATGGTCTCGCGTAGTGAAGTTGATCTGCTGGATATACGGCAGGAATACAAAAGAATGTATGGGAAATCTCTCTACACGGACATCGCGGTAAGGCATCGGCAAGGATCACGTTTCTATCCAAGCTCTCTCTTTGGGTGACGGCGTAGAATATCAACCTATCTCTTGCTTAGCTGGAAAGGTTAGATTTTCCCACACAATACGCTTAAAATGCACAGGTGTTGTGTGAGCATAAAATGCTAACAACTAGAAAAGACCTGGTGTCGGAATGGCAGTTCGCAAAATCCCAAGTGCAATAGTAAAATAGGGTGGGCGGTACTGATTTTATAATGCACCTGTATGTTTATGGAATCAGCTAGTGGAGTCTCCATCAAAGTGTACAGAATGGAACAAAAAGTAAAAGCAAGGACATGATCTGGGATGAAAGTATAGCTGGTAGAAGTACTTGGAGATTTGTCAGGTCTATGAGAATTCGGCACGGCCAACTGACCATGGCCAACTTGCCAGGGCCAACTCACCATGGCCAACCTGCCTTGTGTGACTTGTTTAACCTGTATATAAAACTTGCATCTGTGCCTAAAAATTTGAAGAATGTGGTTATTCCCATCTGCAAAAGAAAGGTATCAATATGTTCGGTCTCTGGTAGCTGATTGTATCTTTCTCACCGTGCTTATTTAGCAGATCCTACTTTTGAGACTGTCTAAGGAGATTCTCCATCCAGGTTCATTCCGGTGGTCCCAAAGGTGCTTTTTCAAGACGCAACTGTATTTCCTTTGTTTTTTTTCTTGACACCATTTCACTTCTCATCCAAGAATCTTCTTCAGTTCTAACGTAGAACAGTTTTAACTCGGAGCTGAAGAAGCTTCTTTGGATGAGAAGCGAAACGTCGTCGAGGAAAAACAAAAGAAGTCCAGTTGCCTCCTGAAAAAAAGCATCTTTGGGATTACTTTTGAGACATTTTGTTTGCAGACCAGCCATTCTGTTCCACTCCTTCACTTTTAATTTTTCCTTCACCTTCCCTTCTGGGTTTTTTTTTTTTTTTTTTTTTTTTCAGGGTGACACTTCAGGGGACTATCAGAAAATCCTTCTCAAGCTGTGTGGCGGGAACGACTAAGCAGAAGATCTGGAATTTTGGAATGTCCCCTTCAAAGTCACAGCTAGCTTTATGTTATCCTTTCACACAAAGCAGTCAAAACGCCCACTGCTGGATCGGATTGATATTCTTAATATATTCCATCCTCTAAAGGTATATAATAAATACAGGAATATATATATATATATATCGTTTTGCAGGCTCAAGTCACTACTGCGATAAACTATTTCTGTAAATTTAGATGTTGCTGACAAAGAGTTAAAGAGAGACTAGTATAGCTATTTCAAGCTAGCTGATGAGAGCTAAATAGCTCGAAATAGCTATACTAGTCTCCCTTTAACTCTTTGTCAGCAAAATCTAAATTTACGTATATATATATATATATATATATATATATATATATATATATATATATATATAAATATATATATATATATATATATATATATATATATATATAGTAAAATAAATAAATAACGATCACCAGGAGAATAAATGAGAAAAACATTTAATAAAACCTAGCTTTCGTTCGGAAGCTTCCGACATCATCAGGGTTAAAAGCAGTCATTGGGAAGAAGCTTATATATGATCACTAGAGGCCTGCATCCGGCTTCTGGACCGCGTCACTGGTCCCAGCTGATCGAATTGCACCTTTGCGTCAGCGCCCAGCCCTTTCCTGTTTCTATTCCGTGCGCTATTGTTCACTCCTCCATCGCTAATTCTGGGGCTGAGTGGGGTCCTCTCCCATCCCTTTTGGGTGGTAGTTGTTTCCATCCCCCTGCCCCCTTGTGCACAGTTCTCCTTGCCAGGGGTCCTGGGGTATGGGCCATTCGGTTCTCTCTCCTGGTCCCACCACATACTCCATTTAAACTCCGACCGATTCCCCCCCCCCCTGGGGCTGTGGCTCGGGCGTCTCTCTTCGTCTCTACCTTTTCCAATATATATATATATATATATATATATATATATATATATGTGTAGCCTTTGGTTATTCGGGTTTTCTCCCACGTAAAATTGGAAGTGTCTTGGCGACGTTTCGACGAAGTCCCATTCATCATCTTCAGGCTAGTGTTTTCAGCTTCATGCTTCGAGGAGCAAGGAGCACAAGCTGAAAACACCAGCCTGAGAGACGAATGGGACTTCGTCGAAACGTCGCCAAGACACTTCCAATTTTACGCGGGAGAAAACCCGAATAACCAAAGACCTACATACAACACCCGTGAAAACCTCAGAAAACAAACATATATATATATATATACATATATATATATATATACATATATATATATATATATATATATATATATATATATATATATATAAAATTAACCTAAAAATTGAGGAATGTAGTCTCCTGGGTGTATATATATTCAAAAGATAAAAACGAGCACCAGGAGATAAAACAATTAAATGTTTAATAAATAGATAACCTAGCTTTCGATGGCTGTATTGCTGCCATCATCGTCAGGGTGTGAAAAGCCAGAGGGTGGGGGAGCTCGTTTATAAGCACAAACGCACCTGCACACGGCTCATAGACCTCGTTATGGGGCCCGGTCGATTGATCCTCCCATCACTCATGTCAGATGTATTTCTGAGTTCTAAGTTCCTGCAGCTGATTACTTCTCTGTTGCGTGCGGCTATGTATATATATATGTCTTCTGTAGTAGATAGAGATATTTTTTGCTGCATTCTTAGAGAAACTCTTTCACTGCAAACGTTGCCTCTGAGAAACGCTCCCTTTAGAGTACAGAAGGATCCTCTATAGTTTTGTGTGCAATATTTTTGTCTAGCTGTGTGGACTTTTTGTGTGTTTGTTTGAAATGCATGGAGTGGTTGTTTTGTTTTGTTTTTAAATCCGAATCAAAAGTGCCTGTTCTGAAATGCGATGGGTTTAATTCCCAAAGGTTTTTTATTTCATTACTGTTTGGGGGGGGGGGGAGATACCTCTGGCTTATGGCCTGGGAAAAAAAAATAATTTTGGTATTCATTGGAATACCAGGGCTCAGAGCTTGATGTACAATCAAAGCATCATTTGGAAAATGTCAATGAAGACTCAAATCATCCAGGCCAAAAGTATCAAAATGGTTGATATGCATCCAAGTTCATTAATCTGAGACATTTTCCTTGCTCATCCCAACAACTTCATCAGTCAAAATAAAAAAAATAGTCAGAGAGCCTAATTTTTTTTTAAATTTATTTTGATTGATGAAGTTGCTTGGATGAACAACAAAATGTTTCAGATTAACAAAGTTTGGTCCAGTTGCCATGATTCAAAAAATTAGATACCTCATTTTTTTTGGAGAACTCATTAAAGTGTGCCAATGAATGCTTTTACTCCTGCTACTAATTTCAATATCGGATGACATCCTTTTTACTGGGACAATGAAAGGGGGAGAAGAATTAAATCTCTTCCTGCGTGCTATGAAAATTCCCCTATCTTCCATCCTACTGACCAAGTGTTTTTTTTTTTTTAAAAAAAGGAATATCGATAGTACCTTAAGTCTTTGGGAAGTCTTTCAGTCCAATCATCCATTCATAGTTTCTTCTCTGATTAAGTGGTTTCTCTAGAACACAGGTTGTTCATGAAACTCTAGACCAGGGATAGGCAACCTTGGCTCTTTTATGACTCGTGGACTTCAACTCCCAGAATTCCTGAGCCAGCATGGGGGAACTATGGCCCCTTCATGACTTGCAGACTTCAACTCCCAGAATCCCTGAGCCAGCATGGCTCAGCTTGGAAACCTCTCCCTTTCCCCTCAGCATGGCTGGCTCAGGAATTCTGGGAGTTGAAGTCCACGAGTCATAAATGGGCCATAATTCCCCATGCTGGCTCAGGAATTCTGGGAGTTGAAGCCCACGAGTCATAAAAGAGCCAAGGTTGCCTACCCCTGTTCTAGTTCATACAACCCCTTTTGCAGGGATTTTGATTTCCAAATCATTTATAATAGGAACCGAGCTAAGTATCCTCATTTAAGGAGAGCTGGAGCATTCCCCATTTTGCTTTTCACAGATTCCCCCAAATTCTTTCTTTCTTTCCTTATGGACATATTGCTTAAATTGTGCTACAATTCATTGCCTGCTTTTTACCGGAATACACGCCAAACTTTTTCTCTGTCAGTGATTTGAGTTACTCCTTTTAAACCAAATATATGTAATCATTTTTTTTAAAAAAAAAAAAAAAACCACACATTGTTTAAATAAAATTATCTATCTTCTTAAGTTTCTTGCGTTGCTTATTTGGGCCGTGTGTTGGGGACATATATTCTCTCTTGACATCACTGTTTGGACACTGAATTGGGTTAGTTCATTGGTTACTCTGGCTAAAATGTTGATGACCACGCTTGTAATATTGCCTCCAGTTTTGGTCGCTATAGTATAAAAAAGATGTTGAGACTCTAGAAAGAGTGCAGAGAAGAGCAACAAAGATGATCAGGGGACTGGAGGATAAAACATAATGAAGAACGGTTGCAGGAATTGGGTATGTCTAGTTTAATGAAGAGAAGGACCAGGGCTGACATGATAGCAGCCTTCTGATATTTGAGGGGCTGCCACAAAAAAGGGGGTCGACTTATTCTCCAAAGCACCTGAAGGCAGGACAAGAAACAATGGATGGAAACTCATCAAGGAGAGAAGCAACCTAGAACTAAGGAGATTTCCTGTGAGAACAATTAATCAGTGGAAATTGTTGCCTCCAGAAGTTCTGAGTGCTCTACCACTGGAGATGGGACAACCATTAGTCTGATATGGTATAGGGTCTCCTGCTTGAGCAGGGGGTTGGACTAGAAGATCTCCAAGGTCCCTTCCAGCCCTGTTCTGTTCCATATGAGTTCTTTTGGACCAATAGGCATTTAATAATAATAATAATAATAATAATAAAGTTGGAAGGGACCTTGGAGGCCACCGAGTCCAACCCCCTGCTGAGACAGGAAACCCTATACCGTTTCAGACAAATGGCAGTCCAGTCTCTTCTTAAAAACTTCCAGTGTTGGAGCACCCATAACTTCTGGAGGCAGGTTGTTCCACTGGTTAATTGTTCTAACTGTTAGGAAGTTTCTCCTAAGTTCTACGTTGCTTCTCTCCTTGATTAGTTTCCATCTCTTGCTTCTTGTCCTGCCTTCAGGCGCTTTGGAGAATAGCTTGACTCCCTCTTCTTTTGGGCAGGCCCTGAGATATTGGAACACTGCTGTCATATCCCCCCTCGTCCTTCTCTTCGTTAAACTGGACATGCCCAATTCCAGCAACCGTTCCTTATATGTTTTAGCCTCCAGTCCCTGATCATTTTTGTTGCTCTTCTCTGCACTCTTTCTAGAGTCTCAACATCTTTTTTACATCGCGGTGACCAAAACTGTATGCAATATTCCAAGTGTGGCCTTACCAAGGCCTTGTAAAGTGGTATTAACACTTCACGTGATCTTGATTCTATCCCTCTGTTAATGCAGCCTAACACTAATATCGTGCTAGAGTTTCCACTTTCCCAATAAATGTTGCAGCAGAATTCAATTTGCTTCTGTGGCCAGTGGTCACCATCTGCTTTCTCCTTGCACACGCATTTTTTAAAAAGTGCAAGTCTCTTGGAAGAAACTATTGGAATGCCAGCTGCTGTCTCTGCATCCTGCTTGCAGCATTCCATCAAATCCAGCTGTTATGGGACACTTACACCCAGACGCTGCCAACGTTTGGCCAATGCTCCATAAATGGAATCTAGAGCTTGAAAAAAAAAATGCTGCTTTAAGGTCACTCCTTAGCTTCTGCTCCAGATTATCTTGGGTTTCTGATTCATGCTGAGTTTGAAAACAGCTTGATCCAATGAAATGTTCCATTTTGTCTAGCCTTTGGCTTCAGTTTCCTACAGAGTCCATCTGGATGATTCTGAGAAGAAGAGCATAAACAGCAAGAACAGTGTGCTAAGTTCACGTCTTGCACTGATTTTTTTTCCCAGCAATGTCATTGACATCTTGCTGGAATTTATGTTGCTTCGGGCACGAAATGAGACCAGGCGAACAAATAGTTCTGAGTTCCTCATGTTCTCAACCAGCACGGGAGATGAAAACACAGGCAAACAGGTCTGTCTTTATTTGTAGCTAACAATGATCCTGTCCCATCACTGGCCATATCAATGTTTTGCAACAGAGGCATGTCAGAGATACAATCTAGCCTTGTGCCAATATTAACAAAACTCAGAACTTCTGGTGACTAGGAGCTGAGGAATCAGCTATGGCAGGAGTGTCCCACTTTAGCAACTTGAAGACTTGTGGACTTCAATTCCCAGAATTCCTCAGCCAGCATGTCTGGCTGGGGGAATTGCGGGAGTTGAAGGCCACAAGTCTTAAAAGTTGGCAAGGTTGGAGACCCCTGAGTTACGGGACATCAGATGTCATGCTGGTGTACTTTTCTGCTTAAGGTAGGTGGAGAGCTCTTCAACTCATGAGTGAAGAAAGTCTCAAACATCTGACTGTTGAGTCCTTCATTGGATTAGGAGCTGTGATGGGGAATCCATGCTACAATGGATGTTCAATCATGAGTCATTCATTATGGATCTAGAGAAGATGCCCATCAATGCTGCAAGAAGAAGGGGAATCTTTAGTCTCACCCATCACCTTAGACTGACTGCATGCTGCTCCGTACGGTGCTTCCTGAAAAAAAAGGACTTCTAGGTTTAAGAAGGCAAAGGAGTTTTTCAGATTAGTCTTCTCTCCAAAGGGCATTTTTCATGAGTACCAAACTCCATTTCCCATCATGCTTAGTCATCAAGGCTGTGGCTTGTGTGAATTGTAGGACCCTAGTTGAGAAATAATTTATGGACCAGTAAGAGAGGACAGGACCCTGAAAGTACTTCTTTTCATAATATTAGTGGACGTTACAGTCAGTGGACAATGTTCACCTTGTACTTCTTCACCATGTTCTATATCAGGGGTCTTCAAACTTGGCCCTTTTATGACTTGTGGACCTCAACTCCCAGAATTCCTTTAATACTTTAATAACTAGGGGGTCCTGGGTGCGCTCTGAGCTGGGTGGGTTTTCTTGCAGGCATTTCATTACCAAACTAGGTAACGTCATCCGTGCGAGAGGGGAGTGCTTGAGGGGAACTTTAATAGCTCTTTAAGGCAGATGAAGACGTGACATAGCTGTGCATGCTGGGAAGCGTAGAAGTTCAGTGTGGGAAGAACAGGCTCACCCATTGGCCTGTTGTCCAAATGCCTACTCAGCAAATTGTTTGCCAAGTTGAGTAAGTTTATTTATTTATTAAATTTATGCGCCGGCCATCTCGAGTGAGACAGTGGGAGGTTAAGTTTCAAGAAATGGAATAACAGAATTGGAAGGGACCCTGGAGGTCTTCTAGTCCAACCCCTGCTCAGGCAGGGGACCCCAGACCATTTCAGACAAGTGCTTGCCCAATCTCTTCATAACCCCACCCCACCCCGTGTGGGACCACTGTCTCTTCTTTTTCTTTGTGACCACCCTGAGCCAAGAACATTCTAGCTTCTGTGGTAGAAGCTTTGGCTTTCTAGAACAATCCCTTGAAACCACATTAACGAGGTCGATGCCAACATTTTCACGTTAGCCTCGGACCTGAATCCAAGACTTTCTTCCGAAGCTTAATTGTGTCTTTTTTTCCTCTTGCATTTTGAATGAAACCCCGAATTACCGTAATTTGCCATCATAAAATCCCAGCCTTTGGAGATTTATTTTTTTTTAATTTTCAACTTCCCAATCTAGTTTTATCGGTCTCCTGTGGAAGGACTGATCAAGGCCCACCTTGCTTCGTCTAACATGCACCTACGGACATGCTTTCAACTGACATGACAAATGTTTACTCAATGCTGCTGTCCATCACAACACTTTATAGACCAGCTGGGTTTCAAGGCTGAGGCAATATCAAAAGGCAACTGGGAAGGCTGACTCTGCTGAAGTAAAAGTTCACAATCTGGATTTTCAGCCCATCGACTGGAAGCTCAACTAGGATCTAGAAAGAGAAAAGGAAGCTGGGTTGATAACCTTTTCAGGCACAGCAAAGGCCACAGTTGCTGACAAAAGACAGCAACGGATAACATTCAGTCTGGTCCTTCCAATAACCAAAAAGAGGGAAGGGAGGGGAAGGGAAGGAAAGGAAAGGAAAGGAAAGGAAAGGAAAGGAAAGGAAAGGAAAAGAAAGGAAAGGAAAAGAAAGATAGGGATGACTTCTTCAAATTGTTCATCCTTCTCCACCCCTTGGTAGACTATTCCAAAGTTCAACCACTTTTTTTGAAGCAGTTTTTCAGAGGCCTTTAGTCTTTCTGTTTGCTAAAGCCTTTATTTTATTTTATTTTTAAAAAATGTCAAGTCAACTCCTGATGGCCACACAATCACATCCTATGTGTAGCAGTGGTTTGAAACTGTTCCTCCAGGATGTTCTTTTACCTTTTTCATTCTATCTTATAATGCTAGGACATCCTTCTAATCTTCTGTCCAAATATAGATGTCACCTGGCTTAAGCTATGGGTCCAAAGTCAGTTATTTATTCATCAAAGGACATTTGATTCATGGAACGGAGAAGCAATTCTTATGTTTCCATCCCTGTATCTAACGGCGCCTGGATATTCCTATTTGCACTTAGCTTATGGACGATGTATATAAATGCAATAGTTTTAATGGCTAACAATCTCCTCAAATGCATGCCATGATTACACCTTTATCCTCGGAGAAATGTCTATGGAGATTCTCAGTCATTCAGGTCCTGGTTGTCCCAAAGGTGCTTTAGGATATGATACCACCCATCTCCAGTCTACTACACAGTCCTTTCAGCAGTTCCAAGAAGATTCCACACCCATTGTCACTGTTATTCTATTCTATTCTATTCTATTCTATTCTATTCTATTCTATTCTATTCTATTCTATTCTATTCTACAAATGAACGTACATGATGCCATCAAGAGAGTCAAAGAATGGAAATAGAAATGGGCTCGTCACATGGCAAGAAGAAATGAGGGCAGGTGGACCAAGACAGTCACAGAATGGATCCCCCTTGATGAGTAGCATACATGAAAGAGATCTAAAACAAGATGGATTGATGACATCAGCAAGTATGGTGGACCCAATTGGCAAAAGGAAGCTCAGGACTATTATGGTTGGAAACATGTGGAAGAGGTCTTCATCCTGCAGTGGATGGACCATGGCTAGAATGATGGTGATGATGATGATAATGATGATGATGATGATGATAATGATGATGATGAAACCCATCTTAATGCAGATTCTCAGTCCTCTAGTCATGGTTGTCCCAAAGGTGCTTTTTCAAGAGGCAACTGGAGTTTCTTTGTCATTTTCTTTCCTTGAAGACATTTTGCTTCTCATCCAAGAAGCTTCTTCAGTTCTTCACTGAAGTGAAGTCAACTTGCAGAAACTTCAATGAACTGAGGAAGCTTCTTGGATGAGAAGCAAAACACATTCAAGGAAACAACAAAGAAAGGACAGTTGCTTTTTTGGGGAAAACATCTATGGGGAAACCCTTGTTAGTTTGTGAGTGCAACAGTACTACAAAACCCATATTTCAAGTCCATCCTATACATGGACCTCCACACAATGGCGGAAGCCCCCCAGAGGGTTTGTCCAGTAGCAGAGTTTCTAAAAAGGGAGAGCTGTGCTTTCAAAATAGTTGGAGAACTTCTGAGAACACTTGCACCCCATATCTCAACTCCTCGATTGGGTGGGGACATTCCACTTGGCTTGGCTCCCGACTTCCTACCTTCGAAGAGATCCACCAGTGGGGTCCCAGGAGCAAGTGGCTTGGTCCACGCAGTTTCACTAACATCGTTGAGCAATGACTTGACTTCGGAGTCCAAATGTTCAACTGTTTTTTCCAGTTGCTGATGGAAGAAGGAGAGAAGAAATTTGGCCTTGCTACTTCATGCTTAAGACCTAGTAACTCACTCACCCGACATGCTAAGGTTAGTGGTAAGCTTGATTTGGTTTCCCTGCGGCTTAAAGTGTTATGGAAACTCAACCTTTTTGGTTAGCCTCTAATTCAATTTATTGGGCAAGCTTACATAGATTAATTCAGGAACCAGGCTAAGAAAGTTGTCTAAATCGTGCCAAAAAACCCCCACTTAATTGCAAATAATAGGAAAATCAGAATTAAAGGATTATTTGTTCTCACTGTCAGGAAATTCTGGGGAAAAAATGGACAGAGATGGCTTTTGTCAACCGATCACTTATGTTGGAAGCAAGTCTTGTTGAAGACCACACAACTTCCAAGTTGTAGTTTGCAGCAAATGCTTCTTCTTCTATTCAAGTAATTTATCAAGGGGTATAGTCAGAGATGCCAGAATAAGAATTGTACAAGAAAGTCCTTAATCCAGGACTAATGCATCCATTGCGACATTGCATAACGGCTGCCTTGGAATCAACATACTCTGACTTAATTCTGAATGGAAAGGGAACATTCTTAATCGTTGCTCACTAATGGATTTCCATCAAATCACATATGACCCTGTTCAGCTTCTTTCACAATTGCTCAGAGTCAGCTAGGAGTCATCATCTGAGCTGGACAATACATGCAGTTTTTTTCTAAGTTATATGACCACGAATCATATAACTCATTTTTGTCTATTTTATCAGCAGGTCTCCATTCTTTAAGGTAAAGGTGATATTCCTAAATTTGCTACTCAAGTCCTTCCTTCCTTCTTCCTTCCTTCCTTCCTTCCTTCCTTCCTTCCTTCCTTCCTTCCTTCCTTCCTTTCTTCCTTCCTTCCTTCCCAAAATCTTCTCAATAGATTACCTCCCTCTATCTGGAAGCTGAAGTCCACAAAGCTTAAGGGTTGCTGAGATGGAAAAATACTGCTTTAGACCTTCTGATTTTGTTTTCCATTTTTCCATTTCCTGCAGCCCATCTCCAGAACTCTGAGCTTCCGTTTCCCCCATGGAACCGGGACCCTCTTTTGCGCAGGGAGGTGGCGATAAGCATTCTGCACCTTGTGCCATGGCATCTTCTTACCTCTTGAACAGTATCCAAACGCTTGTGAATAGTGCTGGGATCATCACACCAGTCATCTTGCTCTGAGGTTCCCTGGTGGTCAGCAGCAGGACCAGCTGCAACTGGGAAAAGGAGAAAAACAAATGATCTTACGGTTTTAAAGCTCTTGGTGAAACTTTTTCATCGTTGGGTTCATCCATCGTTCCCCCTCCTTGTTGTTATTTCTGTTTGGGTTCTTTTGGCTTTTCTGGTGCTCTCGGTGTTGACTCGGGGTCACCGCCTGCAAAGGTCCCTGTGGTTTTCCTGGCCATATTTCAGAAGCGGGGTGGCATTGCTCTTGTCTTCCTCGGATTGAGAGAGATTCCTCTGTTGGCTTTGTGCCTGATGACTAGAACTCACGGTCTCCCAGTTTCCTAACCTGCTGTCTTTAACCACTACATCAAACTCACGCTCTTGTTTTTATTCATTTAAGATGAACCAGTCAGACCCAGTTCAGGATCACAGTTGGAAAGCAGTTGGAAACCTCCCTCTCCAACTATTTCTCCGGAGATTAAAAAGATCTCTGAAGACTTTCCACTTCTCTTTTAGCTCTCTTCCTCCCTCCGAGTAATCAACTAGAAAAAGGTCCAGGTCTTTTATGAACTCCGTCTTGACCTGTGCAGCAGTTCTGTGTACTTGTAAATAAATAAAAACAAATGGGTAAGATACATACTTCGTTTTCAAATAACATGTCATTTGACCGTGTCTTAGAAGGAGCTCTGCAGCTGGCAACGTTTATACAATCATGAAGAAATTAAGAAGGTTTATGTTTGGTGAGGACATAGATTTTCTAGACTTACTAGAAAGTCTTATAGCTGTGGGCTAGATTGAGTATTCCCAAAGGTGCTTTTTCAGGAGGCAACTGGTGGGGAAGGGAAGGATTTATATTCCTTGCAGACAGCTGGTCATTTGCCTTCTTTTAGAGAGTCATTGAGGCCACTTGGAGGTTTACCTATGTCTTCAGGGTCACCTGAGTGGTGCAAATGTGTGTGGAGTCTCCTTGGCTGCAGAATGTTTTCTGCCCTGTCTCCCTTCAACACAGCATCCTGCAGCCATGAAGGCTCCACACCCATTTGCTCTACTCAGGTGACCCTGAGGACACAGATAAACCTCCAAGTGGCCTCAACGACTCTCTAAAACAGTGGTTCTCAACCTTTCTAATGCCGCGACCCCATAATACAGTTCCCCATGTTGTGGTGATCTCCAACCACTTATACATCACTGGGTGCCAGGGGCGTGGCCAAAGAAAAGGGGAAAAAAATGGCGGACAGCCTTGTTTGGCGACCCCCATGAAATGGTCATTCGACCCCAAATGGGGTCCCGACCCACAGGTTGAGAACCACTGCTCTAAAAGAAGGCAAATGACCAGCTGTCTGCAAGGAGTATAAATCCTTCCATTCCCCACCATCCAGTCAGAGCTGAAGAAGCTTCTTGGATGAGAATCAAAAGGTCTTCAAAGAGAAACAAGAAAGTCCCATTTAGTGAACTCTAGCTTGGAAAAATCCCAGATTCCATCAGTCCTTTTTTTTTAAAAAAAAAAAGTTGGAAAGACTACTTTCTTTGTTTTCTTCTCAATGGTTCCTTTCTCTCCTTCTTTTTTTATCCTACAAAGTTTTGCCCTCACCTCTTAAAAGGCAGAATAAGTTCCCCACTAAGGAAGAATAACGAGCCGAGCCGTGATTATAAAAGCAGGAGAAGCTTTCTCTTTTAACTCCTTGGACGTCCATCAAGCCTTAAATCTGATTTGTAGTTGAGTTCCCCACCCACTTAAGAATGAGGACAAGCCAAAACTATGTCCATCTTGCTGGTTTCAACATCAGGGAGTTGGCTTCAAAGAGGGCAGAAAGCCATTCCCCACACCCCCAAGACATTTGCAGCTTGAAATGGAAGGGAAGAGGCTTTCGACAAAGTCTTTCCTGACAAAGAAAGAAACCACTTTACAAAGGATTTTTTTTCCCATCATCGTGTCGTTATAAACTAAAAGCAAGCTCTGCGATTGCAAAAAGCATAGGTTGCCAAGCTTACAACTTGGCACTGAGTTTGTAACTTCTCAATTTCAGCCCTCAGGCACAACAAAGTTAAATCTCCATCTAGTAGTTGAACTTAACTCAGGGTGACTACAGTCCATGGATACATGTTTTTTGCTTGGCAACAACAACAACATCAGCATAACCGGCCACGACTTTCTTCTGTGCTGTTCCCTCCAGCTTCCCACACGAGGGACTTCAGGCTTAGATCTGACTAAGCTTTTTTAGGAGTCATCAAACTGGTTAGGTGCCGTGATCTCCTCTTGGCAGAAATCAATTATCAAATTGGGCCAGCTATCCAACTGTGAAACAAAGCCTGTGAGGCCTGGTCGCATCCGGACTGGTCGGAGCCGACGCTGGTCCACCATCCGGTGAGGCCCTGGTTACCTGCCCCTATCGCACTGCTGCTGCCAGTGTTGCTGTTGTTGGTCTCCTGTCGGGGAACGCCATCGAGACGTGCCTGACTATGATAACATCATCAAGGTGCCCCTGACTATGATGACGTCATCAAGGCGTGCTTGGCCGTAAACGAGGGCCTCGGAGAACGCCTTGCCATACCAACACTCTTCCATGTGCAACCAGCCGGTTCCAAGGGGCCGCAATGAGTTGGTGGGCCACAGCGGGCAGCGAGCAGTGTCCAGACTGTTGAACAGCCGACCTCACGCTTAGGACCAAGACGAGGACACTAGTGCATGGGGCTGGTGCTTGGAGATTGGATGGTGGCTAGGGTGGTGGGGTGGGGACAGGCAAGGGAGGGGCGGCTTTAGGGTGGGGCGCGTGTATGGTATATAAGGCACTTGGAGCAAGCCACTTCCAGTGTTAACTTTATTTCCAATATTGCAATAAAGCTGTTGGTGGTCTACACATTCCTGTTTACTGGCTTACTTGCTGAGAAGCTCAAATAGGACGGTTTGACAGCCTAATTGCAAAGAGAAGCTCTATTCAGATACTGATCTGTTTCCAAGATAGGCCAGCCTAGTCTGAAAGAGGAGGACAAATTCTTTGGCAGTAGAAATGGATGAAGGAAAAAGGTAAAAATTGCATTTTTTTTCCCCTTTGGTTCCAGAATTAACCTTCAAACTAGGTAATAATTAACTTCAGTTAGGGCCAACAAGAGAAAGCTTTCCTGCCAGTGGAACACAAAGGGGAAGGGAAATCAGTGCAAGAGAAATAATTTTTTCCACATGAGGTCCCAACATCTGCTCGGAATTTCACGGGCCACTGAGAACACACCAAGCCAACTTCAATCCTTACTCGGCACGCCCTCCTGACTTCACCGTGATTTTCTCCTTATTAAAATGCCTCTCGGTTCTGCTCAGATAACATCTGCAAATTCAAAATCTGGCCATTTCACCCGACTAACCAAGGAGGTAAGGGAGATGGCAGTGAGCAATCTTCCAATATCTCAGGTGTTGCCACAGAAAAAGAGGGGGTCGAGCTATTCTCCAAAGCACCAGAAGGCAAGACAAGAAACCACGGATGGAAATTAATCAAGGAGAGAAGCCACCTAGAACTAAGGAGAAAATTCATAACAGTGAGGACACTTAAACAGTGGAACAACCTGCCTCCAGAAGTCGTGGGTGTTCCATCACTGGAGGCTTTTAAGAAGAGACTGGACAACCATTTGTCTGAAATGGTCTAGGGTCTCCTGCTTGAGCAGGGGGCTGGACTAGAAGACCTCCAAGGTCCCTCCAGCTCTATTCTATTCTATTCTATTCTATTCTATTCTATTCTATTCCATTTCTATATTCCATTCTACTCGATTTCTATTCTATTCTATTCTATTCTATTCTATTCTATTCTATTCTATTCTATATAATAATAATAATAATAATAATAATAATAATAATAATAATAATAATAATAATAATAATAATAATAATAATGTTGGAAGGGATGTTGGAGGTCATCTAGTCCAACCCCTTGCTCAGGCAGGAAACCCTATACCATTTCGGACAAATGGCTGTCCAGTCTCTTCTTGAAAACTTCCAATGTTGGAGCATTCATAACTTCTGGAGGCAGGTTGTTCCACTGGTTAATTGTTCTAACTGTCAGGAAATTTCTCCTTAGTTCTAGGTTGCTTCTCTCCTTGGTTAGTTTCCATCCGTTGCTTCTTGTCCTGCCTTCAGGCGCTCTGGAGAATAGCTTGACTCCCTCTTCTTTGGGGCAGCCCCGAGATATTGGAACACTGCTATCATGTCCTCCCTCGTCCTTCTCTTCATTAAACTGGACATACCCAATTCCAGCAACTGTTCCTTATATGCTCTAGCCTCCAGTCCCCTGATCATCTTTGTTGCTCTTCTCTGCACTCTTTCTATTCTATTCTATTCTATTCTATTCTATTCTATTCTATTCTATTCTATTCTATTCTATTCTATTCTATTTGCATCTATGCAAATGAGGTACATAGTGCAATTTACTCTTTTCTCAATTTAGGTTTTTTTTTGTTTTGTTTTGGTGGGAAAAGAATACAGGGAACTGTGAGGACTCAGAGATGAACATCTGGACTTGTCTTCACGCTGACCAACTTTGCCAAAAGCATTCCTGTGTCCCCAATTTGGAACGCAACGGAGTTCCTCTGCAAACAGATCAAACGTCTATTGTTACCCTAAGATGGTCTGATTCATTCCATTCTGGTCTGTTTACTGGTGAAGGCTTCCTCTCTCCAACAGATGACATCAGTGGGGTAAAAATGATCTTGGCTTAAACAAGTGTCTGCTGTGGTTATGCTTGCTTGTGTGCCCAGAAAGCAGATAAATCTGTATTCGGATACTCACGTATTTTCAAGAGCACTGAATTAATGGGTCTTGTTGGGATTATAATACTTTGCCCTCAATATATTGTGGGTGTTTTCAAGCCCTTTATATTTCACTCTAATTCTTTTAACAATTCTGGGAGAACTGGGGTCTCTCCATTGACCTGTTAATAAAATCTGCTTATAACTTGTCCTCAGAATCCATTTTTTTAGAAGTCTGCAGCTCCCTAAATGCTATGTAAATATTTTTTAAAAAGCAATTAAATATTTAAACATATAAGTCTAGTAAGGCCACAGTGTAGTGGAAACATGTTCCCAGTGTTAATGCCTCGTTTAATTTGTGTTGGCTTGTTAAAAGTATGTTCCCTGTCTCAGGACAGCAGAGTAAATATTCCCAGGAGGTTATTTTAAGATGCATTTCTGATTCCTTCTCCGTCTGAGCCTACAATAAAAACACCTTTAAAGAATACTTTTGTGGTTTTGCCAAGATCAGAAAAGGTTTGAAAAGGTTCTCAAAAGAAAATGGATTTCTGCTTTGGCTCTCAAAACTTAACAATCCTATGACCTGCTAAAAGGCTTCAATGAATTTGCGATATCCACCCAAGTCCAGGAATAAATAAATAAATTTCATGGACTTCAAGTGAAACAATGGTAGAACTTCACAAGTTCTTAGAATAAAGGGAAGGAAGGAAGGAAGGAAGGAAGGAAGGAAGGAAGGAAGGAAGGAAGGAAGGAAGGAAGGAAGGAAGGAAGGAAGGAAGGAAAGATGAGGGAATGGGAGGGAGGGAGAGGGAGAGAGGGAGGACGGAAGGAAGGAATGAAGGAGAGAAAGGGAGGAGGGAGGAAGGGAAGGAAGATGAGAGAATGGGAGGGAGGGAGGGGGAGAGGAAGGGAGGAAGAGAGGAAGGAAGGAAGGAAGGAAGGAAGGAAGGAAGGAAGGAAGGAAGGAAGGAAGGAAGGAAGGAAGGAAGGAAGGAAGGAAGGAAGGAAGGGCTAGCTCCAAGTCAAGCTCAGATCTTGCTGGCTTCATGGTCCTGTCTCTGCACAGGATGATGGTCAAGGTGTAGTCAAATCAAAATGGCAGTTGTAATGGTTGGATCAAAGCTTTTTCTGTTTTTTATATTTGTCACAGGGAAAAAATAGCATGGGGAAAATCACACCGATAAAAAGGTTTGCTTCCTTTTCAGCAACTTTTCAACTTTTTGCCTCTAAACCTGGATTTGGAGCAAACTCGGATTTAAATATATAGTTTTGCTGAACATTTGGGCTATAGCTTTGGCTTTATAAGGCCAAATGATGCATTTAGAATATCGAAAACTGATTTGGCTGAGGCAAGTGTTAAAATTCAAAACCTCCTGAGGCATCTCGAATAAGCTGCAAAAGTTTTATAGGATTCTTGTGTTTTGACAGGCCAACTAAGCAGTTGAGTTGACCAGGAGTGGGACAACCTGTTCTCCAAAGCGCCTGAAGGCAGAACAAGAAGCAACAAACGGAAACAAACCAAGGAGAGAACCAACCTAGAACCTAAGGAGGAATTTCCTGACAGTGAGAACAAATAATCAGTAAAATGACTTGCCTCCAAAAGTTGTGGATGCGCCAACACTGGAGGTTTTAAAGAAGAGATTGGACAACCGTTTGTCTGAAATGGTGTAGGGCTTCTTGCTTGAATAGGCGTTTGAAGACCTTCCAGTTCTGTTATTCTGTTAAGCATCCAGCAATAGCAACAGTACTTAGACTTATATGCCGCTTCACAGAGCTTTACAGCCCTCTCTAAGCAGTTTGCAGAGTCAGCCTATTTGCCCCCCAATAATCGGGGTCCTCATTTTACAAGCCTCGGAAGGCTGAGTCAATACAAATAGCGATAGCACTTTGGCTTATAGACCACTTCACAGTGCTTTACGGCCCTCTCTAAGCAGTTTACAGAGTCAGCCGATTTGACCCCGACAATCTGGATCCCCATTTTACAGACCTCAGAAGGAGGCTGAGTCAACCTTGAGCCAGTCAGGATCAAACTGCCGAAAGTGGGCAGAGTCAGCCTGTAATGGTGCCTTCAGACCACCGTGACACCATTCTAGTTGATCTTGACTGGTCGGGAAAACCAAGCAGAGTTGATCTTGGCCAGGATTTGGATGGGGGACCATCAGGAATCCCTAAAGACACATCTTAGAAAAAGCCAAGGGCAAACCACTTCCATATCAAGCAAAAACAAAACCCCAACCCATTTAAATGTATCCGGGAAGAATCCGACTTGGCTTAAATTGAACATTACATATTATTGCCTGGAGCTATCTGATAAAGCGGTATTGTTCTTATCCAGACATACCACTACAGCTAGTAACCATACCTTTCTAAGAGTAGGACGTTACATCTGTGGGATTTTCTATGCAAGACTAAAAATGTTCTCCTTGGGGAAGGAAAAAGAGATGCTGGAATGTCACATATGCCTGTGTGTTTGTATCTGTGTGTATTTTGACGAGACATTTATGATCTTGCAAAATGCTCTACCGAAAGACCTGGAAACATTCCTTTGAGCTATGTGTCATCTGAATATAGCAATATTTACTCTCAGGTAAATAATTACAGGCTTGATGCCTTCCTAAAGTTAGAGGGCAACTTTTCAAACTGATCTGATATAAATACACTTCAAAACCATTCCTGCGTGTTGAGCGTCAGATTCAGTGTTTGCTTTGCAAAAAAGCATTCTCCCCCAGCAGCGGCTGTGCTATTTATTTAAGCAGATGTTGTGCAAGCAAATTCTTATTAGTGCATTAGCCAAGGAAAAGATTAGTTGTTGATTTATTCAGTTCCCTGTTAATTGGGCCACCGAGACCTTCCTATCAATAGAGCTTCTTTGCAAAACCCTCACAGCCGAATGCGTTTCCAGCAACATTTGCATCTGCAAAAGGGATAATAATCCTCTAACCTGGCTTCTGTCTTGTTAATATCACTCTTAAGATTTGGGGAAAGGTTTGCATGCCTCCTTGTTGTTAGGAAATCCATCCACTTTTTTTAAAAAAAGAAAAAAAACCTCCACCCAGTTCAAACAAACACCTTTTTCTCTCTTGCAGAACCCTCTGGATTATTTCACCTTTGCAAAAGAACGCAGAATGTTGCAAGCAAGCGTTTAAAAACACTTACCCAAGTCTCCATGGTTGAATGTGAAAAGTAAAAAAAGAGACACGGTGTAAAGCATGGTTTCACCGCCTCTGTCCCTCTCTCCTGCTTCAGCAGATGGCGAGAAATAAATAGCTTTTCTTCCCAGGACGCGCAGATCAACTTTTGGCAGAATAGCTGGGATTGGTAAGAAAGAGTCTGAGCTGAGCCAAATTTCTTACACAGCCCTCTTTCCTTCTTCCCCCTCCCCTCTCCTCCCCACCTTCAAACTACACTGGGTCTAGTTATCCATCAAGCTCATTCTGAGCCAGATCTGCCACAGGGAAAAGTAGAGTGTTTGTTATTAATTTATGCCCTTCCTGAATGGAGTGGGCTGAAAACAGACTGCATCAAAGAGGGTGAAACAGCTACCTTGGTCTGTATGTGCAATTTTTTAGCAGGCAGAGAAAAAAGGAACAAGGGATCAACACAGTCATTAACAGGAATTCAGCTAGACCAGCGGTTCTCAACCTGTAGGTCGGGACCCCATTTGGGGTCGAACGACCATTTCATGGGGGTCGCCAAACAACGCAGGCCGCCATTCCCCCCCCTTTTCCTTAGCTGTGCTACTCCCTTTTATTCTATTGGCTTTTGAAAGCCAATAGAATAGACTCTCTTGAATAGAGTCTAATCCTATTGGCTTTCAAAAGCCAATAGGAATTGTCCAGGCTGTCTCTGCCCTGCTGAGCCTGCCAAAAGTCCCATTCTGCAAATGGGGCTGCACCAGTTGAGTAGTCCTCGACTTACGACCAGTTGAGTAGTCCTCAACTTATGACCGGTTGGGGGTCGCGGCATTAAAAAGGTTGAGAACCACTGGGCTAGACATTGGGGAAACCTTCTGTTTCCCAAAAGTGCTTCTTCCAGAGGACACTAGACTTTCTAGTTTTCCTTTGAAGACGTTTCGCTTCTCATCCAAGAAGCTTCTTTAGCTCTGATTCAGCAGAAGAAGCTTCTTGGATGAGAAACGAAACGTCTTCAAAGAAAAACAAGAAAGGTTTCTATGGAGATCCTCCATCATCCAGGTCATGGTTGTCTCAACCGTGCTTTTTCAGGAGGCAACTGGACGTCCTTGTTTTTCTTTGAAGACTTTTTTGCTTCTCATCCAAGAAGCTTTTTCAGCTTTGATTCAGCGGAAGAAGATTCTTGGATGAGAAACAAAACGTCTTCAAAGAAAAACAAGAAAAGTCCAGCTGCCTCTTGGAAAAAGCACCTTTTTCTTTGGGACAACCAGGACCTGGAATGACTGAAAATCTCCACAGAAATCTTCTGTTGCTTACAGCAAGGGTTTATTTAGCTTTTCTGTTGTACTCCATTCCCTGCCTCGGTTTTTAGCCTGGCTAAAATTTAGCCTGGTAACAGAATGGCTATCAATTCATAAATCACTTGGAGGGGGCTGCGAAGCACAAGGAAGCAGACTATAAGTGCTATTGCTATTTTGTAGATCGCAAAAAGTGTCGGTGGATAAAACAAATAGATAGAGGTAGTCCTCAATTTGCAACAGTTCGTTTGGTGACCGTTCAAAGTTACGAGTACACTGATCAAAGTGATTTATGACTGCTGTAGCATCCCCTAGTCTAGTCTAGTGAAAAGAAGGACTAGAGGTGACAAGATAGCAGTGTTTCAATATTTGAGGGGCTGCCCCAAAGAAGAGGGAGTCAAGCTGTTCTCCAAAGCACCTGAAGGCAGAACAAGAAGCAACGGACGGAAATTAATCAAGGGGAGAAGCAACCTAGAAATGAGAAATTTCCTGTCTGTGAGAACAATTCATCACAGGAACAGCTTACCTCCAGTGGAACAGATTCATCAGTGGAACGACTTGCCTCCAGAAGCTATGAATGCTCCCGCACTGGAGATTTTAAAGAAGGGTCTGGACAGCTCTTTGTCTGAAATGACGTAGGGTTTCCTGCTTGAGCAGGGGGCTGGACTAGAAGACCTCCAAGGTCCCTTCCAACTCTGTTATTCTGTAAAGTGCATGCGTTAAGGCACGTTGAAGTTGTCCTTAGCTGTCAAATTGTCTTTTTTCCAACAATGGACAACCTCCGTATGTGTGTAAGATCTGCCAAACTTTGTCACCCATCGCTTTTGCAGGGAAATCAAGTGACTGGGAAACTAAAACAATAAAGACAGGCGGAGGATGGAGATAATCCATTACAAGCTTGTGTCGTTTTCTGCCCATTAAGCACCTCCACACAGCAGTGTGGGAAAGTATGTGAGGAAACACGCTGGATTGGCAAAATATCCCTTTGGGTTTTTGTTTTTTGTTTTCATTCTATTTGCAACTTAACTAAACTTTCAGGGATGCTACAGGATCCAGATGAGACCTTCCATCCGTATCCATTTCTGAGTCCACCTAAATCAGTGGTTCTCAACCTTTTTAATGCCGCGACCCCCAACCGGTCGTAGGTTGAGGGCTACTCAACCGGTGCAGCACCGTTTGCAGAATGGGGCTTTTGGCGGGCTCAGCAGGGCAGAGACAGCCTGGACAATTCCTATTGGCTTTGGAAAGCCAATAGAATTGGACTCTATTCAAGAGAGTCTATTCTATTGGCTTTCCAAAGCCAATAGAATAAAAGGGAGTAGCACAGCTAAGGAAAAGGGGAAAAAAATGGCGGACTGCGTTGTTTGGCGACCCCCGTGAAATGGTCATTCGACCCCAAGTGGGGTCCCGACCCACAGGTTGAGAACCACTGCCCTAAATTCTCTAGGAAAGAGTTTGAGAAACCTGGATTGATCTGATTTGTGGGGATTTTAGAAAGCTGTTAAAGGCCTCAGAATGAGGGTGGTTGTACCCAGGATTTGTACAGGGATAATCCATGTCATGTTGGGTCAGACAAGGATGTCTTCCCAACTTGGGTTGATGAGAATATATAAATGTTCAGCTCACGTTTATATCACGAAATCATTCGCGCCTTGTGTCTGCTGAATCTTCCAGGATCTTTGTTTACTAGAGGAGAAAACGTGATAAATTCTTTCGTAAGTAGATGGTCAAAAGAGCTTATTTGCAGAACGTAGAATAATAGAGCTGAAAGAGACCTTGGAGATCTTCCAGTCTGGAGTCTCTTTTCAAAGTGATGACTTTAAGACACTGGAATGTGGGCTCCATGCTACAACTGGGTTAAAGACACAATTTTTGCAGGACAACTTGTGACCATTTGTTTATAAGTTACAACATTAAGAGACATGAAAAAAAAAGCATCTGACATCCAGTTTTCACACTTACAACCGGCGCAGTGTCTCCACGATCGTTGACCAGAATTCAGTCGCTTGGCAACTGGGATATATTAATGATAGTGATCACCATTTGCAATCTTCCCAGTCCACGGGAGAAGCCAGATCCATTTCACAATGAATAAATGACGATTCCTGATTAAGGCACAAAAGCTTGTCAATCAGGTATGACTCATTAACAGTCACATTGCTTAACAACAAAAGGGCCAGTCCTAGCTGTTGTTGTAAGTCCAGGATTACCTGCAGAAATGAAAGCAAAACCCAGAAATTAACTGTTTTGGAATTTGCTAAAAAAATGTTGCCGATATCTTTTTGGATTGAGTCAGAGTTGGCTAGGAATGAATATTATTTTAATGCATGCTTGCTTCCCTCTGGCTTCCAGGGTTGAGTCCAAAACACAACGAGTCTCTCATATTTTCGCCATATTAGGAAAACGGCTCAATAAAATCACCACTAGCACTTCCTACCCATTTGGGAACGTAGGAAGTGTGTGAAACAACACAACCTTCCACTTTGGTAGTAGCCAAAAGAAGTTGGCTCGGGCTGCAGAGGAGAGAGGAAGGAATCTTGAGGCATCAGGTTCCTCAATCAAAATTTCAACAAGGTCTTCAGACGGCAGTCAACATTATAACAGAATTGCTTCCAGAACCACCTGCCTCCAGAAGCTGTGAATGTTCCAACACTGAACGTTTTTAAGAAGAGACTGGACAGCCATTTGTCTGAAATGGTATAGGGTTTCCTGCCTGAGCAGGAGGTTGGACTAGATGACCTCCAAGGTCCTTTCCAACTCTGTTATTCTATGATTCGGTAAGAGTCTCCTGTTTGAGGAGGGGGTTGGACTAAATAACCTCCAAGGTCCCTTCCAACTCTGTTATTCTATTCTATTCTATTCTATTCTATTCTATTCTATTCTATTCTATTCTATTCTATTCTATTCTACGCTACGCTACGCTACTCTACTCTATTCTTTCATTCCATATTCTATTCTATTCTATTCTACTCTACTCTACTCTACTCTACTCTACTCTACTCTACTCTACTCTATTCTACTCAACTCTACTCAACTCTACTCTACTCTACTCTACTCTACTCTACTCTACTCTACTCTACTCTACTCTATTCTATTTACAGAGTTGGAAGGGACCTTGGAGGTCTTCTAGTTCAACCCCCTGCTCAAACAGGAGACCATTTGAGACAAATGGCTGTCCAATCTGGTCTTGAAAACCTCCAATGATGGAGAACCTACAACCTCTGAAGGCAAGCCATTCCACTGATTAATTGTTCTCGTGGTCAGGAAATTTCTCTTTAGTTTTAGCTTGGTTCTCTTTTTTATTAGTTTCCATTCGTTGCTTCTTGTTCTGCCTTCAGGTGCTTTGGAGAAGAGGTAATCAGAATAGAGCTGGAAGGGACCTTGAAGGTCTTCTAATCCAACCCTCTGCTCAAGTAAGAGGATCTATACCTTTTTAGATAGGTGGCTATCCAGCCTCTTCTTAAAAACCTCCAGTGATGAAGCACCCACAACATCTGAAGGCAATCCCTTCCACTGATTAATTGTTCTAACTGTCAGGAAATTTCTCCTTAGTTCTAGGTTGCTTCTCTCCTTGATTAGTTTCCACCCGTTGCTTCTTGTCCTGTCTTCAGGTGCTTTGGAGACTAGCTTGACTCCCTCTTCTTTGGGGCAACCCCTGAGATATTGGAGCACGGCTATCATGCCACCCCTTGTCCTTCTTTTCATAATTAGACATACCCAATTCCTGCAATCAGGAGCAGGCCGAATGGCTGCAAAAGAAAAAAGGGCAACAGGAACGTTCAATATTAATTCTTTAATATTGAAGAGGATTGGAGGGGATTGAAAAAGATTAGGAGGTCAGAGTAAGGGGAAAGAAAGAAAGCCCAGCATATGCCAAGGAAGAAGAACGACCATGGATTTTATTTAACACTGTTCCGTTGAATAATAAGGCTATTTTGTCTCCATTTGCTCCAAATCTAAGACGGAAGCTTAAATACTACGCTAGTAATTCTGGGCAAAGGCTCCTTTTTCAAGACTTTCCGAAAGCTGTGTCTGGAGCCAAAATAAGAGGATTTCTCCGAAGCCGTGGAAGGAACGAAGAGTCAGGATAATAATAGCTCCTTTTCCAGTTTATCCTGTCTTAAGACACTAAACACTTCTGACCCTAGGCACAGTTAATTTTAAACCAAGGATGGCTACTCTTCACAAGGTAATCGCTATCACCATAGTTAAATTTTGGCCAAGGTCTTATCTAAAACCACTCTGTCTAGGAGCCTTCATGTCCTGGGAAAGTCTCTGAGTTTGCATTATCTCTAGAAAAAGTGAGATCTGAAGTAGCCTTGGGCTGAGCCAGAGCGATTTGCCTAATAATATCTATTAAATTGCTTCCCATGCTGGTGAATGTTTGCTCTCTGTTCCTTGGTCTCTGCTCTTTGGGTGGTTGGCTTCATTTCTTCTTTCCTGGACTTGGAGCAATTTCGAGAAGTTCTAACTACACATCAGGAATATGGATTTTTGCAGCTAGAATATACATCCTGTGCTTTCTTTTAATGTGCCATACATTCTCAGAAAGCTACCCCCCAAATTTTGGTTCCTTTGGATGGTTAGGATTATAGTTCATCATTGAGAAAGCCTTTTCTCATTGTTGAACTGAAATGTTCTCTGACCATCCAAATCAATGTTCTCAGCCATGAATGGTTGAGGGAACTAGGTACGTTCAGTCTACTGAAAGAAGGAATAGGGAGGGATGTAACAACTATCTTGAGGGGCTGTCACAGAAAGTTGTGGGAGCTTCATCCCTGGAAGCTTTCAAGAAGAGACTGGACAGCCATCTGCCTGGAATGGTGCAGGGTTTCCTGTCTGAGCAGGGGGTTGGACTAGATGACCTCCAAGGTCCCTTCCAACTCTGTTATTCTATTCTATTCTATTCTATTCTATTCCATTCCATTCTATTCCATTCCATTCCATTCCATTCCATTCTATTCTATTCCCATTCTCTATTCTATTCTATTCTATGCTATTTTAATTCTACCTTTACTGAACGTGATGGACCTCGGTGAGACCTATAGCCCTTCAAAGAAGAATTCAGCAGTTACATAATGAGATTCCTTACAGATTGGGGAATTCTGGGAGTTGACATCAATATGTCTTAAAGTCATCAGAATTACAAGAGAATTACACTGGATATTGCTTTGTGGGCTGTCCCAGCAGGGGGCAGTATTTAGCTGGCCTGACCTGATTGCAAAAAAGCTAAGCAGGGTTGGCCCCGGTTAGCCTTTGAGTGGGAGACCATCAGCTACACTGGGCAGTTGGGGAAGAGGAATCCCAAAAGACAAAAAAAACAACAGCAACAACCAAATGCATAATTTCAAAGTGCACAAAGACTCCATGAATGCAGAAGTGGAGATCAACTAGAGGGCAGTGTTGTTATTTATGATTATTACTATTACTATTATTATTATTATTATTATTATTATTACTATTATTATTATATAATTGAAAATTCTATTCTACTTGAACAGGCAGTCTAGTTTATTCTTTTCTAGAAATCCCAGATAATTGCATTTGGACATGAAAGAAGAGCTCATTGTAACTCTAGTTTTTAGATGACTGGAAGTGGGCAGGAGAGAGAGAGAGAAAAAAAGAGAGAAGAGAAAGAGAGAGAGAGAGAGAGAGAGAGAGAGAGAGACAGAGAGAGAGAGAGAGAAAGAAAGAAAGAAAGAAAGAAAGAAAGAAAGAAAGAAAGAAAGAAAGAAAGAAAGAAAGAGGGAGAGAATGAATCACCTTTGCTGTCATTTAGTAGTAATCTGGTTATTTACAACCTAGATATGGCAGTCCTAATTACAAGCTACTTATCTTAAACCGGGGTAGAAATTCCAGTCTTCAAAACCTCTGTGTGCATTGATTCCTTTCCAAAATTGAAGCTGCTTTCAGACAGAAAGGCTTTCAGCGAACATTGCTGTGAAAATGGTTTCCTTTCAAACTTCCTTCATTCTTTTTTATTTTCTTCCCAACCCTGCCTTACACAGTTTTTCCTGCTCACACACACACACACTCAAGTGCTATTCGTATCTGGCCTACGGTCAAATCCTCCATTCTTGGCAGGATAGGGCAAAGAAATACTGTAGCCCGGAGCCAAAGAATTGCAATGCTTTTTGGCTCTTAGTTTGCATTAGTTGATCATTTCTTCATGAAAGCATGTTGATTGACGTTGTCTTCTCCTTGGTCTTCTTTAGGGTTTACCAGATCTAGAATAGAATAGAATAGAATAGAATAGAATAGAATAGAATAGAATAGAATAGAATAGAATAGAATAGAATATGGAATGGAAGGGAAGGGAAGGGAAGGGAAGGGAAGGGAATGGAATGGGATAGTATAGGATAGAATGGAATGGAATGGAATGGAATAGAATAGAATAGAATAGAATAGAATAGAATAGAATAGAATAGAATAGAATAGAATAGAATAGAATAATGCAGAATGCAATTTGTAATAGAATAGAATAGAATAGAATAGAATAGAATAGAATGGAATGGAATGGAATGGAATGGAATGGAATGGAGTGGAGTGGAGTGGAGTGGAGTGGAGTGGAGTGGAATGGAGTGGAGTGGAGTGGAATGGAATAGAATAGAATAGAATAGAATAGAATAGAATAGAATAGAATAGAATAGAATAGAATAGAGCTGGAAGGGACCTTGGAGGTCTTCTAGTCCAGCCCCCTGCTCAAGCAGGAGACCCTATACCATTTCAGACCAATGGCTGTCCAGTCTCTTCTTCAAAACTTCCAGTGTTGGAGCATTCACAGCTTCTGGAGGCAGGTTGTTCTACTGGTTAGTTTGTTCTAACTGTCAGGAAGTTTCTCCTTAGTTCCAGGTTGCTTCTCTCCTTGGTTAGTTTCCATCCATTGCTTCTTCTCCTGCCTTCAGGCGCTTTGGAGGATAGCTTGAGATATTGGACTACAGAATCCGAATCCTTCTTCTTGTTTTGCTCTGATTTCGGGGATCGGTTTCAGTGTCAATTTGCCACCACCACCACCCCGCAACAGAGAAGCTGTAAAGAGTTTAAAACCCACAAACTGTCAGCCGGACTGAACTATAAGCGTCACTCAGGCCCTGACTCAAATTGACAGGGACAGGTTGCTCTCTGCGAAATAATCTCTTTATATAGCAGCCGCCCATCTTCAAAGTCGTTTCTTTGTCCCCTGTCACATCAGAGGGCCGTGTGTAGCCGGACTCTAGACCCACACCATCTGTGGGTCTTTTTGCAGCCCATCTGGCTGTCTTCTGAAGTTTTTTTTCTTTTTTCTTTTTAATTCGTCACTGGGGGGGGGGGAATCTTCCCGTTTCAGGGATCACCGAGAGGTTGCGATGAAATTCGCCGCCCAGCTGTTCTATTCCACAGGTTTAAAACATGGATTATCCAGGGAAGAGGGCGAAGAAGAACGAGAATACGATCCGTTCTGGGAAAGGTTGGACTAAGTTGCCCTGTGATGTAGAACGTAGCGTGTTGCTTTCTTTTTTTTTTCCTTTAAAAAAATGATGGACAGTCCCACCTTGGTACCTGCGGCCAAATCCGTGGCTCTTCCCTCCCGTGGACCCCACCTGCCTTCTTATAGTGCAGTAGTTGGAATGCTAGTTCGCTTCTTCCTTTATTTCATTGCTGTACTTTATAGGTAATTGTGACAATATGATGGACTATCTCTTTTTCCTCTCATTTCGGTGAAATTGTAGATAGCATGAATATTGCAAAGAATGGATAAAAGCTTCCTTCCTTCCTTCCTTCCTTCCTTCCTTCTTTTTCTTTATTATCCCTTTTCTTTCTTTTTCTCTACCTCCTTTTTCTCTTTCTCCTTTCTTTCTTTTTCTCTATCTCTTTTCTTACTTTCAGTTTCTCTCCTTTCTTTCTTCCTTCCTTTCTTTCTTTCTCTTTCTTTCTCTTTTTTCTTTCTCTTTCTTTTTTCATTCTTTCATTCTCTTTCTTTGTTTGTTTCTCTTTGTTTCATTCTCTCTTTCTCTCTCTCTTTTCTTTCTTTCTTTCTTTCTTTCTTTCTTTCTTTCTTTCTTTCTTTCTTTCTTTCTTTCTTTCTTTCTTTCTTTCTTTCTTTCTTTCTTTCTTTCCAAAGACCTTGTTAGATACATTGCACTTTCCCAGTAATTAGATTGTTGTTTGTCTAACACTGTAGATGATGATGATGATTTTGTCATTTTCTTCTTAGTTTCTATGTCCCAAAGGTGCTCTTTTACTCAGGAGGCAACTGGACTTTCTTGTGTTTCTATGGTTTTTATCTTCTAACTTCTTACTACAGAGGTGAACTGAAATGAAGAAACCATTTTATGGGCTATATGTTTTATCTGAATTCCTTTGTGTTCTGTATGAACCTCATTATTTGGACAGCTGATTATGGACTGATTTCAAAGCTAATTGTATGATAGCCCCAAAGCTGTAGGAGCCGATCCTGTTTATGTTCCTATAATAGAAATCATAACTAAGTTATACTCAGCAGAGGGAGCTTGCTGACAACTTACAGACTGACTAATTCTAATCCTTCCACACATTATAAAATGCATTTCTGTCTCCTAGCATCTCGCAAAGCAAGTTTTGCTAACACTGTAAAATAACACCACACTTTAAAACGTAACTACAATCAGAGTCAGTCATTAAGAAAATAATTTTTAAACAGCAGCAAGCATTACATTCCCATAGCAGCTTGCACAAAATAGGAATAATTATGACCTAATTGCATACATTAAGAGAGAGAGAGAGAGAGAGATAAATGTTTGTAAAATATCAAGACTGAAAGCAATAAAGGAGCTGAACCAGCAAAGAAGTACGCTTTGCTTAAAGCCAGAGAAGCTCCAAAAAGCATTAGCAAAAGTAGTAAGGTTAAGATAAAGAAATAATTTATTAATTGCCCTAGGATTTCTTCATCATCAAATGACTGACATTTTTTTTTTTAAAAAAAAACATCTTTTACCATTATTTGATTATAGAAAGAAAAAGTAGATAATGGCATATATTTTTTTTCCTCAAAGGCAATTAATCATTCATCCATCTATTATAATGACAGACGTTGCATGCCAAATTAAATACGAGATCCTGTCTAGAGTATGTTTATAGTATGTGCACCCAACTTTTACAATTTGATTACGTGTAGAACAGCCAAATTCCGTTCAGCAATACAACATCAACCAGGATACTGATATAGACAGGCGCTTTTATCCAATCCAGAAATTTATCAGAATTTGGGGAGAAACCAGATATGAAACACTTCTGAGGAATCACTGCTTGATTTAAATATTTAATATTAAATACTGTGTAAGAACTCTACTTGGCTTTTTAAAAATATTTCCTGTTTATTATAAGGAGTAAGCAAACAAAGTAGTGATTCCTTGGCAATGAAAGGATACTCACACAAAGATGTTTTCACGCAATCTTTAGATTTTGTTAGATTTATACCAGAAGATGATTCAGTTTTGTTTCCAACATTTGTTTTCTTCTTCTTCTTCTTCTTCTTCTTCTTCTTCTTCTTCTTCTTCTTCTTCTTCTTCTTCTTCTTCTTCTTCTTCTTCTCCTCCTCCTCCTCCTCCTCCTCCTCCTCCTTCTTCTTCTTTCCTCTTCTTTCTTCTTTCTTCTTCTTTCCTCTTCTTTCTTCTTCTTTCTTCTTCTTTCCTCCTCCTCCTCCTCCTCCTCCTCCTCCTCCTCCTCCTCCTCCTCCTCCTCCTCCTCCTCCTTCTCCTTCTCCTTCTTTTTTTTTTGTGGTTATTCTTTTTATGTAAACATATCAACGGTTTTTCTCTGTTTCTATCCCTAGCTCTGGAAAGATGTTATTTGCAAAAAAGTAGGTTTTTAAAATCCCATGACTTGTCGTTAAACTGACTAAAATTAAGAATGCAAACATGCATCTGTGTGTATTTGTGTGTGTGTGTGTACGTGTCTTTGTAAAACATTTAACTATAAAACAATTTTATTAAAAAAATGTTCCATATCACATTTTAAAAACTATGCATGTAGAAACTAACTAGAATTGTGATTTTGCAATTACTTGCAAATGAGCTGTTGAATATGTTTTTAAACACACACACACTGGACCCCACTGTTAGCCTTTGTTCAAGAATGCAGGATTCTGAACCCATATTAGATATTAATACAGTTCAGCTATCAATAGACAAATATGAGCAGTGTATATGACAGTCTGGAACAGGGGTCTTCAAACTTGGTCCTTTTATGACTTGTGGACTTCAGCTCCCAGAATTCCTCAGCCAGCATAGCTGAGGAATTCTGGGAGTTGGTCCACCAGTCATAAAAGGGCTAAGTTTGAAGACCCCTGACTTAAGTAGAGATGAAAGGCCTTGGGGGGAGAGGAACCAGAAAAATTGGGGGGAAAAACAGGGTTGTTGTTTTTTTTTTTCCAAAGCTGTTTGGGGAAAAAAAATCAGTTTTTTTTTTCCAGGCCTTTCCATCTCTACAGCTGGGGCACCTGATTTTCCTAATTTTCTCATAGAATGCTCACAATGTCCACCCCTAACCCTAACCCTTCCAGCATGTATAGGTGTGTGCATGGCAATGAATGACATGATGAAGAACATGAGTGAGAATATAGGCCAGTGATGGCAAACCTTTTAGACACCGAGTGCTCCAAAACCGCCCTGCAAGAATCCTGCCCTGCCACCATTCTGCCCCGCCTCTGCCCCGCCCGCTCCACCCGCCTGGCCACCCACCACCTCCATGGCCCGCTGCAGATTGTCCAGGCAGCCCAGCAGCATCATGGCAGCCATGCCCCCTGCCCACGCCCTGCAGCATCATCTGGGCATGACGGGGCACAAGGGCGGAGTCTTGTCCCCGCTGTCTGGCTGCCATGTCCTAGGTTGCAGTACTCTGCACAGGCTGCGCCGAGGGGTGACTGTCCTCCAGGGGGTCTGCTGGTGAAGAGGGGGCCATGGCGGGAGGCGGGGCTGGGCGACAGCACGTGTGCCCACAGAGAGGGCTCTGAGTGCCACCTTTGGCACGTGTGCCATAGGTTCGCCATCACTGATCTAGGCCCTAAGTAGATAATGTCCTCAGATCTCCCACGGTTGATGTTCAACACGATGAACCGTTCCTAACCCATTTCATTCCCTCTTCCTTTAGGAGTGGCGAAAGCAAACCCAAAAAGCTAACGGCATCCACCACCTCTGACTTTCCTTTGCATAAGGATCGGCAAAGAAGAAGCAGCCGCGCTGAGCAAAGGCTATCGTCCATCCACCCGGAGAGGCTGAAAGATTTTGGAGAGGAAGAGGAATTAAACGGGGGAATGAAGACATGGGAAATGAAGATCGTTAGCCAGGCGGAGGGAAAGTTGAATGATTCTGCCACCTGCCCGGAAGTGGCCGTTAGCAAACCGCTTTATACCACCTGCAAAAAAATCCAAGAAATCAATGCTGCGGCGCTCAAGATCCAGCATGGAGTCCTGAAAACCCCGTGCACGGTATTGCTCTTGATTGTTTTTTCAATGCCAGTGAAGTTCCAAACCATGTTAGAAATCAGAATTACACATTCCTTTCAATACATAGGGTGGGGAAGCTGTCCCAAAGATGCCTTTTCAGGAGGCAATTGGACTTTCTTGTTTTTCTTTGAAGACATTTCGCTTCTCATCCAAGAAGCTTCTTCAGCTCTGACTGGATGGTGGGGAACGGAAGGATTTATACTCCTTGCAGACAGCTGGTCATTTGCCTTCTTTTAGGGAGACATTGAGGCCACTTGGAGGTTTATCTGTGTCCTCAGGATCACCTGAGTGGTGCAAATGGGTGTGGAGCCTTCCTGGAACTGCTGAAAGGACTGTGTGGTAGGCTGGAGATAGGAGGTGTAGTATCCTCCCCCCACCTCTGTTGAGAGAGAGCTGTTCAGTTTGGACATAGATGGCCTCTTTGACCCCTCTTTCAAACCAGTGGTCTTCTGTCCAAAATGTGGACTGATAAGCCTCCAGGGACATCAACGACTCTCTAAAAGAAGGCGAATCACCAGCCTTCTGCAAGGAGTATAAATCCTTCCATTTCCCACCATCCAGCCAATCGACACATGCCTAGTCTGGTCCATTGGTCAGATAAGATAAGTAGGGCAGAACTAATGCTTAACCTTGCTTAGAAGACACACAAACCTTCTGAGATCAGTCCAGTGGTGGGATTCAGCCGGTTCGCACCCCTTTGGCAGAACCGGTAGCTAATTTTTTGATGCCCAGGCCCAGAATGGACTTCCCGGAAGCGGCATCCACACAGAGAACTGATTGTTCACATACTTGAATCCCACCACTGGATAAGTCCCAAAGGTGTTTTTTTTCAGGGGGCCACTGGGTTTTCTTGTTTTTCTTTGAAGATGTTTCGCTTCTCGTCCCAGAAGCTTCTTCAGCTCTGACTGGATGGTGGGGAATGGAAGGATTTATATTCCTTGCAGACAGCTGGTCATTTGCCTCCTTTTAGAGAGTCTGTAGGGGCCATTTGGAAGTTTACCTGTGTCTACCTCAGGGTCCCCCTTTATGGATTACTGCCTTGTCATGGCGAAGGGCTTGCGTAACTCAATGAAGCTATAAGCTATGCCATGCAGGGCCACCCAAGACGGGCAGGTCATAGCAGAGAGTTCTGACAAAATGTGATCCACTGGAGAAGGAAATTTATTTATTTATTTATTTATGAGACTTATATACCGCTTTAAGTGCAAGCACTCTCTAAGCGGTGTACACCAGTAAGCAATGTATATATATATTTTTACATTGCCCCCAACAATCTGGGTCCTCATTTTACCTACCTCGGAAGGATGGAAGGCTGAGTCAACCTTGAGCCGGTGAGATTTGAACCGCTGACCTGCTGAACACAGTCAGCTAAAGTGGCCTGCAATATTGCACTCTAACTGCTGCGCCACCTCGGCTCTTTTATGGCAACCCACTCCAGTATCTTTGCCATGAAAACCCCTTGGACAGTACTAAAAGGCAAAAAGATATGACGCTGGAAGATGAGCCCCTCAGGTCGGAAGGTGTCCAATAATCACTGAAGCAGTAGGTATGAACTTAAATGGACTCCAGAAGATGGTAGAGGACAGGAAGACCTGGAGGAACGTTATCCATGGGGTCACGATGGGTTGGACACGACTTCCCAATTAACAAACAACAACCTCAGGGTCACCTGAGTGGTGCAAATGGGTGTGGAGCCTTCATGGCTGCAGGATGTTTTTGACCTGTTCCTGTGGTCTACAATGTTTTCTGGAAATCCGTTCACATTCCTGCACCTTCTGAAGGCTGTTCACCCCAAAGTGCATGGCTAAATGTCTGTGGAGACATTCCACAGACATTCAATGCATAGCATGTTCCCCATAGTAATCAACCACCACCTTGATAAACACGAGCCATTGCTTTATCAACTTAATAACTCAAAGTCATTTCAACAATCACAGCTGAAGAACTAAGCCTTCCCAATGATCTTTCCCATCAGAGAGCTATCAATAATCCTAATCTCACAGGAAGCAAGCAAGCCCAGATAAGCCAGGACCAGCTCCTTGTCGTCCAAATAAATAATCGACCAACAACATGATATCAATCCCTTACAACAGAACATCTGTCCCCGGCAGATCTCTTTATCACCCATAAGGCTTTGTTTGTGATTGTTAATCTGAACTGTGCTTGTTAGCATCAAGTGTGATTGCTTAGAGCAAATAAAAATTGCCGCTGGGTGATTGAGGGAGGGAACTTTTCAATGACACAAATCACATCTGCCGCGGTCCTCCAAGATTTTGCAGTTCGCAGCATTAAGTGGAATGACTTCAGCTCTATTTTGTGGATCGACACAGAACATTATAGCCACCACTCTTATCGTTTTGACACTTCTCCAAAAGCTGGGGTACAGTTCTAACAACTAATTATGGTAAATCAAATCGGAAGGCAGTTTACGGGAGAATAAACTCAAAAATAAGACGTTCGGAAATAATGCATACGGTATTTCACTAAAAGCAAGACAAATCCGTGCAAAAGCCAGAAGACCACGAATTCAGTAGCAAAACTGATGTAGACCAGAAATAAATTAATCCACACTTCCGTGCAATTTCCTTTACTGTGAGTTGTTAAGAGAGTTTTGCTCCAGTTTACAACCTTTCAGGTCACAGTTTTTAAGCAAATCACTAAATAAATTGTTGTAAATCTGTATGTTTGCCTTTTTTTAAATTAATTTTATTCAAATACAAATAATACAAACATCATGCATATAAGTCTACATAAAAAACAGTATCAAAAATACAAATATTACAGTGCACCCACCCCCCTGGGGACCATTTTTATTATCTATATTTCTTATATAAGAACTAACAATATACAATATATTTCAATTGTGCCCTTATCCCCTCCAAAACAACACATTCAGCCAGAGTTTCATTCCATACAGCATTAGCCTTGAGAACTCTCAAGCTTCCTCCTTCCATTATATATTCAAGATGGACAATATTTAATATTTATTTGCTACATATATGTAGGGATGTGGGTATATACATATGTTGTTCATAGTATGCTTAGGTGTGTGTCATGTATGTGTTTCACTTTGAGAGCAGGCAACTAAATTTCATTTTTGATGTGTGCCATTGTGCCCACAGTATAAAAATGACAATAAAGGTTATCTTATCTTACCTTATCTTATTCCCTTTGCCTTCCACCAACACCGTTTTTATAAAATCATCCCATATTTCCTTATAATTATATACTTTAATCATCCCTTTTTTAAATCAAACCCAGGATCATATAGACCAATATCCCTTACTAATCAGGATGCTAAGATTTTTGCAGCAAGATTGGCAAATAGATTGAATAAATTTGTAAGTCTGCATGTTTGCAAAAGTAAACGGAGTTACTCAATCATGTCCCGCTGTTTTCAGTATTCTAGGCTTTCAAAGCAATATGGAATGGACATATATCTAAAGAAAGAGCTTCTTCAGTACACAGGAACTGCGAAGGAGCGAGGCGTGCTTTACCTTCTGCTGTCCTTAAGAGAGGTAGGAAAATCAAAAAAGTGAAACACGAGCACCGGAGTGAATCAATGCTTGGCGAAATTTTGAAAGGACTGCAAGAAGTGAGCTAAGCGAGTCCAAAAGATAATATGCTTCCAAGTTCTTTTTACATTTCCCAAGGGGAGAATTTTTTCTCCCGGAAACAAAATGTCGTAATAAGTGTTGCTGTTAAATTGGAATTGGAAGCTGGGTTTCCGTAAATCAACGGACACTTGACATGTTTTTGATCTTGCACATTCTATAAAGTCTTTGCATTGAGTGAAATATGAGTTCTGCGTTGTTTTCATTTACCTGGTACGTGGAACAAAATCCCAGTGGTTCCTTTGAGGGGGAGCTGTCAAGGCACCATTCCCCTTGGAAGACCTGAAACCCAGAAAGCAATATGAATGATGAAGCAGGAGCACTAAAAAATAAGAGAACAGACTACTTATAAGCTCTACGGAGGACAGCATTTTAAAGAGTAGTTTTACATGCTTAACGTGCTTTCTTATATATTATTGCTGAACCCAAAATCAGAATTACAGAAGAGTGAAAAGGGATTTTGGAGGTCTTCTAGTCCAACCTCCTGCTCAAGCTTATAAGTAGTCTGTTCCCTTATGTTTAGTGTTCCTGCTTCACCATTTATATTATTTTCTAGGTTTCAGGAATTAAGGAGGGATTTCCTGAGAGTGAGAACTGTTAATCAGTGGAACAGCTTTTGCCTTCAGAAGTTGTGGGTGCTCCATCCCTGGATGCTTTGGAGAAGAGATTGGAAAGTCATTTGTCTGGAACGGTAGAGCGTCTCCTACTTGAGCAGGGGGTTGGACTAGAAGACCTCCAAGGTCCCTTCCAACTCTTGTCATTCTATTCACGTGATTGGGGAGGCTTGTACCCAGCTCCTAACCAAAGTCCTGAACATTTGTGCGTTTGCATTCTCCAGGACCAGCAAAGAAACGGTGTGATTGTGGCCTCGGACTGCAACTTCTCCATGGCTGTCGCGTATCATGCCTCGGAACTCCACATTCCTGTCTTTGTCATCATGTCTGCTTGCAGCCCGCCAAGCAGGGTGAAAATGTGTCGTGAGTACGGTGCCATGGTCATCTCCTATGGCTCTACTGTCAGAGACTCTCAGTTACATGCCAGGAGACTTGCCCAAGAAAACAGCTACTTATACCTCGAAGAGTAAGTTGTTCACTTGCAGAACGGTGTTTGCAAAACCCACACTTGAAATGAGCACAGCAGAAGAGTCTGAGTAGCTGTTTTCATTCTTACCTGCAGGTGGCAGTATCTAGCTGATTTGGGGCCCAGAAACTAAACATGGTTCCCAACTGGTCAGGATTTGAATAGGGTGCTTTTTCTCCAAAGGGCAACTGGACTTTCTTGTTTTTCCTTGAAGACGTTTCGCTTCTCATCCAAGAAGCTTCTTCAGCTCTGACTGGATGGCAAGGAATGGAAGGATTTATACTCCTTGTAGACAGCTGGTCATTTGCCTTCTTTTAGAGAGTCGTTGAGGCTACCTGGAGGATTATCTGTGTCTTCAGAGTCACCTGAGTGGTGCAAATGGGTGTGGAGCCTTCTTGGAACTGCTGAAAGGACTGTATTGAACCCATTTGCACCACTCAGCTGACTCTATTCCAGAAATCAAACACAGGATGACCTTAGGTTGCCCCACAGTAGTTAGCATGAATAAGATCTGGAAAAAGCAGAGATATTGATATAACTACAAAAGGCAGGACAGTTAAAGCAATAGTCTTCTCTATCATGATGAGAGTTGGACACTTAGAAGGGCTGATCAAAGAAAGATCGATGCCTTTAAACTATGGCGATAGCATAAATTATTGCATTTACCATGGACAGCCAGAGTAAGTAACAGAGACGTGTTAAATCGTATAAAACCAGACACATCAATAGGAGCTAAAGTCATAAGACTACCTCTGCTTTCTTTTGGCCATATCATGGGTGCAAATTCAGTGGACAAGTCTAAGATGCTAGGAATAGTTGATGGAACAAGGAGAAAGGGCAAGCGAAGAACACGCTGCTTGATAACATCAAAGCTGATGCAAAGTTGAACATGCAATAATTGAACGAAGCTGTGCTTGACCAGGTAGCCTGGAGAGCACTTGCTTATCAAACAGCCAAGAATGGTTAAAAACAACAAATCAAATGGAACAGTTCCTCAGACCACAGAGCTCGGAGGAGCGATGACAGTAAAAAGTTTAAGGGGAGCTTGGTGTCCTGAAACAGCCAAGCTGTTTCAACATATATGACAGTGGTAGCAAATCTATGGCACGTGTGCCACAGGTGGCACATGGAGCCCTCTCTGTGGGCAGGCACCATCACTCCAGCATATTTGGTCTCTAAAAGTTTGCCATCACTGGCCTAAGGCCAGCCTGCCTGGAGCCACCATTGGGGAGCCCACATCCCACCCACCAGAGGCCCCCTGGATCTCCCCCAACCCTGCCTGGCTCCCACAGGTGTCCCTCCCCATAAGCAACATCAAAGTGGCCATGCCCATCCCGGCCATACCCACCCAATCTGCCATGACTACTGCAGCCACACCCATCCAGTGGCCATGCCCACCCAATCTGCCATGACTACTGCAGCCACACCCATCCGGTGGCCATGCCCACCGAGTCTGCCAAGGCCACTGTAGCTGCACCCGCCAAGTGAGCCACACCCACCCGGCACCTGGCGATACATAAGTGAGTTTTGGGTTGCAGTTTGGACACTCAGTCTCTAAAAGGTTCGCCCTCACTGATACAGGAGAAGGAAAAATAGCCCTTTTGATAGAATGGAATATTTGTAGCCCAAGGTTGAACCGTGGGGTCCTTGGAGCTCTCTTCCTTGCAGACGTTTCATTACCAAACAAGGTAACATCATCCATGCTAGTAAGGAGTAGAGTTTACCCTCATTTTATATTGAACCTTTCCAAGTGAAGAACCTTCTGCACCTGGTTTTGATGAGACATACCACATCGGTGCCGTTACCTGTACAGAGAGAGTCAAAAGAAGAAGAAAGGCATAAGGAGGTGGGTTGAGGAAACACAAGAAGGTAGAACATACACTATTGCTCTTTGTTAAATAGCCATTCCTTTTTTTTTCCTGCTTGTGTCTGCAGAGATGATAGTGCTATCTACCTATCAGGGCTGGGGACCATGGGTATGGAGATCTATGAACAGGTGCCCAAACTGGATGCAATGATATTGCCAGCAGGGATTCCCAGTGGATTGCTGGCCAGCACCTCTGCAGCCTTGAAACATTTGAACCAACACATCTTTGTGGTGGTAAGCCTCCGTACATCTTTGCTTCCTTTGGATGTGCATTTGGAAGCCTTTACTTCAGCTTCAAACCTGGTTAATCCACCGAGCCAAGGAATAGAAAGATACTAAATCTCAGTAGGATAACAGAAAATAGAGCCATTTTCCTTCCCTTCGCCTCCTTGTAATACGGACTGGTGAACACAAGATTAAAACAAAGAAGCGGAACTGCCAGTACAATTTTCCCAGTTTTTGAGCACAGGAATTTCTTAAGTCACCTTCTTCAAAGTAGATGTCCTCTAGAAGTATTTTGATACTTTGATCCTGCAAAGCCACAACTGCAATGCAGAATTTTGATCTCTCCACCATTGGTCCAGCACAGGGGTAGGCAACCTTGGCCCTTTTATGACTCGTGGACTTCAACTCCCAGAATTCCTGAGCCAGCCTGGCTCAGCTTGAAAACCTCTCCCTTTCCCCTCAGCATGGCTGCCTCAGGAATTCTGGGAGTTGAAGTCCACGAGTCATAAAAGAGCCAAGGTTGCCTACCCCTGGTCTGGCACCCTAACCATAAAACCACATTGACTCTCCAATTTCTAGCAAACGCATTTGCAAACATGCCACGTTTGGTTAGTTATGACTGTTGGTGATTGCTCTCTCTTAGTGCTGGGGAACCAACTCAGATAGTATGAAGCTTTAGTTCATCTATGGAGATCCTCCTTCATCCAGGTCCTGGTGGTCCCAAAGGTGCTTTTTCAGCAGGCAACTGGACTTCCTTGTTTTTCTTTGAAGACGTTTCGCTTCTCATCCAAGAAGCTTCTTCAGCTCTGACTGGAGGGTGGGGAATGACTTCATACCATAAGTGTACAGTATTCTCTTTTCCAGAAATATAGACTGATACTAGATGAGGGCTGTTCCTTCCAATGTGTAGCAGCTGGAAGGTACTTGTTACATTTTGGGATACATTTTAATTTCACCCTAACAATGCCGAGTCTAAAGTTTCCGCAGAAGAACAGAAGAGCCCAGATGGGGAAATGAAAGGGTATTCTTAATATAAACTCTTTGGAAATCTGTGGAACTGTAAAAGATACTGACGTTTGGAGGTGCAATAGGTGTGCGCTCAACTGAAACACTGTTCTTATTTGCTTCCTGTTCCTCAGGGTGTAGAACTGGAGAACATCCCTGTAAATCAGCAGTCATTAAAGACAGGACAACCGATTCAAGATCACACCTACAGCCACCCTCAATTTTACAGAGGTAAGAGATTTGGGCCTTTCCTCTCTCGACTGTAACTATTGTGCAGATATTCCCGGGAACCTCTTTTGTGTCCATACAACTTTGTCTTCCTCCTACTCCCTAATAGTGCATGAGTGAGACAGGCTCAGAGGTATTTCTGGAGATATCTTCCTATTCTTCTAGCCCTCTTCAAGGACAGCCTGAAGGTCTGTCAATTTTGTTAGGGGATTGGAGTGACTGGGAAGCGAGGCAATTGACACTGGAGAGCAACTGGCAACCAGGAAAGGAGATTTCAAGATGGTGGAGGTTTCTGCCAACTGAAGGATGGAGGAGTGAAGCACATCTAGCTGTGCAGAAAAACCTAAAGGCAGCTTAGCTTCCATTATGTCATTCCAAGTCATGAATGAGGCCATTTTATGCTAAGATGGTAGGCAAGGCCATTGATCAGAGTTGCTTTATTGCAGCTTGTCACTGGCCATTCTTTCGCTCACCCCATGGTTATAAAAAGAACAGGTTTGAGAATTCTGTGTATAACTAATATTTGAAGTAATTCTGACTTGAGTCTCCCAGAGTTGAAATCTGACAAGAAGATGAACAATTATTGCTCAACTGAGCTACAGTTTTTCTTTTTCTAAAAGATGCTCTTGACGGCATCTCTAGACATACAAAAAACTGACATTAGATCATAGATAAATGTAAATTCATATTAAATGGCAATTAGTCTTCCTGGATTACCAACACCACTTACCCTTTATTATTAGAAAGAAAGTCTTTTCTTTTTCTTTCTTTTTCTCTTTCTCCTTCCTTCCAGTGGAACAGCTTGCCTTCAGAAATCGTGGGCGCTCCATCACTGGAGATTTTTAAGAAGAAGCTAGACCATCACTTGTCTGAGATGGTATAGGTTCTCCTGCTTGAGCAGGGGGCTGGACTAGAAGACCTCTATGATCCCTTTCAGCTCTATTCTATTCTCTATTCCTTCCTTCCTTCCTTCCTTCCTTCCTTCCTTCCTTCCTTCCTTCCTTCCTTCCTTCCTTCCTTCCTTCCTTCCTTCCTTCCTCTTTTTTCCCTATCTCCTTTCTTGTTCTCTACCTCTTTCTTTCTTTCTTTCTCTTACTTTCTCTTTTGTTCTTTCTCTTTCTCTCTTTCTTTCTCTTTCTCTCTTTTTCTTTCTTTCCTTCCTCCCTCCCTTCCTTCCTCTTTTCTCTATCTCCTTTCTTGTTCTCTACTCTTTTCTTTCTTTCTTTCTTTCTTTCTTTTGTCTTTCTTTCTTTCTTTCTTCTTTCTTTCTTTCTTTCTTTCTGATAGCAATTAAAGGAAAACAGTGGGTATTTGTTAAGTTGCACAATGTTTTTCAGTAGGGAAGTCAGGCAGCAGTCTTCTTGAAAACAAACCCTGCTTTTTTGGCAGCATTTTTAAAAAACACCTAGGATAACTAACAGAAAGGTGTATAAATAAGTACCATGGCACAAACAGAGTATAACTTTCAAATTAGTTTTTTGGAGACAGAAGGGTTTTTAAGGGCCAGTCCTAGTTTTCTAGCAGCAACTAGAAAACGGTCAGTTTTCATGAAGTTTTGTTAATAATAATAAGAAGAAGAAGCAATTTGGGGGCATTTACACTGGTGGAAGGAAAAAAAAATGTGGCGATTGGCCTTAACTATTTCATCTTCCAGTCCTTTGCTCTCAAAAAGGAGAGAGTCGCTTACTCTGAATATACTCTCCCTTTACACAGCCTTCCAAACAAATCAGCTTAAAGGGCACACGGAATGCAACATCTGAGAGAGAGGCCAAATTTCTCCAGCTGTAAATCCTTAGGATGGAGCAACGCCCCAGCAATCCCTTGATTGGCCCGTAAAGATGAGAGGCGTTTTTTTCAGAAAACTATAAATTTTGAGCCTGCGAGATGAGGAGCGTTCCAGGGTGTTGCTTATGGGTTGGAAAAACTGGTCCTGTCTGCTAAAGTGCTGGGGTTTTTTTGGAGTGGAGGGGCAGAAAAATGGGATTTTTCAGACACAACTGCTTGCTTAAATGGCAGAAACCGTGAAGTTTTGTTTAAAATGGGCAGAGGGGTGATTTTTCTGTGCCAGCTACTCGTTTGAGCTGCAAAAACCACAATGTAGAAAGTTCGGTGAGGCTCCGTAGGAAATCTTACGTTGAGTTGTAGAGGGTGGAGATTTCCTATTGTAAACTCTTCTTTGAAAGAGAGAAATGCCTGTTTTAGATGTTTGGTGTCCTACCAGGAAGGGCTACAAGGGATGATTCATTTCCTTCAAGCCCATGTTGGTTTGGCTTGCAGAAACTGGTCATTTCCCACAGAAATCTCTGGTTTAAGTGATAATTTGATTTTAAGCGCCACTTTAGGCTAATTCAGTGAGATAGCTAAAGGACTATTAGTGACTTAATACCTATTTACTGAGGGTTTCACTGCAAGACAAGGGCAAAAACGAACATTTTTTATATTATATGCAGCATTTTATTTCTATAGCAGGCTGACTCTTGAGTAGAGCCCCTGTATTGTAGATTGTGTCTGTCTTTTCTCTGCTGGGAGTAAAACTATTAAAAACTAGGAGGGAAGAAAAAAAGCATTTATTTCTTTTTTACCCTGTTTTAATGTTCCCTGTTTGAGACTGCTTTTAAATGGAGAAATGTGCCAAAGATGAAAACTGGGGAAAAATTTAATCCTGCACAGCAGGCAATTGAAATTCTAAACATTGTGATGTAGTAGCATTTTTAGCAACTGCAATTCTCATTGGCTTATCTTGGGCTACAGCTGGCTGACAAACCCCAAAAGATGGTTTGTAAAGGCTGTTTTACCTCATGGAATTCTACCTCTGCTCAGGGCAGGAAACTAATTAAACTACCCCCAGAATGATACATCAGTCAATAATATTTATTCAGTTAATGACCAGCAAAATTAAAAAGAACAAAAAACAGTGCAGCAAATAAAGACAGTAATGTACTAACAACTAGCAATAGGAATTGCATAGTATAATGTTCACTGCTCTATTACAGAATTAATAGAGTTATTAGCTACCCCCAAATGATAGCTTTCCAGCAACATTGTACTAATAATTGGTTTTCCTGTGAGGAAGTTTTCCGCCAATATTCCCTTGAAATTTACTTTCCCATATCTTAAACTCCAGAACTATCACTAGAACCACAAGTGATATCAAATCAAATCAGCTTATTACAGCCACATGGCCAGAAACAACAAAATATCCAATTGTAGGCTACTTACATACTACTTACTAGTGATATCAAAAAAAAAAAAAAGATTAAATCCACCGAAGATTTAAAAGGGTTCTATCTCCTTCAAAGAAGGTTTAATTGTTTATTTGTTCATTTTCTATAGCCAGTCAATGATTCTGGGTGGCTTAACAATTGAGAAAAAGATATTGGGATTAAAAATTTTAGATATATAAAAGAACCTTTTAAAACAAAAACAGTAAAAACATTACAAACTGCCAATTCAAGATATACGAGAGTAAGATATATTTGGCTTGTTAGCAATATAGCCAGGAAACAGAGGTCCTGGCCAAATTCAGTACCTCAAACTTAGGACTATAAACCAGGTTTTAAGGCTTTTACAAAAGGCTAACAGAGTTGGGTCCATTCTGGTCTCTGAAGGGAGGGTGTTTCACACAGCAGGGAAAATTTTGCTCTCCCCCCCCCCCCCTTTCAATCTGTCTTCCTTATGCTTAGTCTCCTCTCCCAAGAGTTTCTTTATTTTCCCTCATCCTTCTCCTCCTGTGCAAATAAGGAAACAGTTTAAAAAAAAACATTACATTCCCTTGTAAAAATATCATGACTCTGAAGAACACAGCCAGAATATTTTCCATTAAAGACTTGATGCCGCGGACTTAAAAGTAGTGCTTTTGAATGGTTGCTTCAAATGCAATTCTGACGATGAAATCTAGATAGTTGTATTCAATTTCTTTCATATTCCCAGTGGCTTCCTATTTTTTTTTAAACCCCCCTGGTTATCTTTTTGCCTCGATTATCCATCCTGTGTCCTGCTTTATGCTGCTCTGTTGATGGGTTCTTAATCTCAGAATAACCAGTGACAACTTGAAAGAAAATTTTTTTGGACATTACAAGAAAGCCTTGCCTGAATTCTAACATTAGTCTGCAAAACAGTCAAAACTTGTACGTTGATTTAGCATTTATTTTATAACCAGTGGGTAAAACTATTCATGTATTCCTTGTTTTCTTTCTCTTTTTTTCTTTTTTTTTCTTTTTTTGTTGCTTCGTTTTTCAGAATTGAGTGGTTTTGGCACCAACTCTTTTCAACTGACAGGGAACTGGGTTGATAAAGTTGTAACGGTGAGGTATGTAAAGGCCATGTTTTACTCTGATTAAAAAATTAGCATTTGTGGTGGTTCCTTTTTGGGGTGTTTCCGGGTGATCTTAAGAACCAACCCATAGATTGGGTTTTCTAACTTGGGTACAAAACAGATCTGAGTTTAAAGGAGGAAATGGAGAGCAAGGAGATTCTAATTGGGATATAATTGATTCATATTCAGAAGAGCATAGAATGGAAACCTTACAGATGCAGTCATTTGACCATATCCAAATATAATACAAATAGACAAGTAGATTCAAAGAAAATAGGACGTGTTCATAGCAAGTCCATCATCCCTGCAGTTAACCCCAATCTGATCTCAATATTCAATTCTCTTTGGCCTTTGACTTGCTAGCCATCTTCCAATACTTCAAGGGATATTGCAGGGGAGGAGGGGGGGTCTATTTATTCTCCCTAGCACCTAAGGATAAACAAGAAGCAATGGGTGGAAGCAGCTCAGAGTGAGATTTCCAACATGGAACTAAAAGAGGAATTTCCTTGATAGAACAATCAATGGAACAGGTTGCCTTCTGGAGTTGTGGGTATGCTCCATCTCTGGACATTTTTCAAGAAAAGACTGGACAACCATTTGTCCAGGATACTATAAGCACTCCTGCCTTGCGCAAGGGGTTGGACTAGAAGACCTCCAAGGACCCTTCCAGCCTTATAACTCTATGATTGAGATGCAGGTTTGTTCCCTGCAAAACATTTAAGCTGCCCCAATATTATTTAGTTCTGAAATAATCTAAGTAAGCAGCCTTTTCTGTAAAAGGAAAGTGTCCAATGTCTCGCAACAGCTGGTTCTCCACAAATACAATCTTTCTTCAAATGGAACTCCACGAAACCTCCTAACAGATTTGTTGGTTCCAGAGAACAGAACATTGGCAGTTTTCCCTGTGCCTCTGAGAGTTGAGGTCCTACTAAACACAAGGTCCCTGGTTTTTCTTTTCTAGTTCTGCAGGAAAACCTTGCATTTTAAAGATGGATGTGCCATTCATGGTTAGTTGCACCCTAATTGTGTAATTTGTCCCTTTAAACTTGAAAACCCCACACCTGAGTTCCAGATCTGAACTGCCTTCCCAGATGTGAGTGCAATTCCTTTGTAATTTTTAATGCAATTCCTTTGCAATGCCAGCTTTATAGGCTATACCTGAATATCGTCCCTTTCAGCTCAGACCACGGAGCTTTAAGAAGAGGGAAATTAAAGTGATTCAAATCACTTAATTTTTTTTTAACTAGAATTAAAATCCACTGCAGCTCCAAGACATCAGTTTGAGAAACGTCGTGCGTTTCCAGGTTATCCCATCGTAAGTCGAGGACTTACGTGTATTGGGCATGGCAAAGATGAGCCTTGCTCTGTTCAGTGCGATGCTTTTGAATAATTGAGAAACCAAGTGTCGTATTCGCACGGGGGTGGCACAACTCTGTCTGACTTTGCTGTTCTTCTCCTTCAGAGAAGAGGACGTCTTGATTTCTATGCTGAGGTTGCTGGAGTACGAACGTGTTGCTGTTGACATAGAAGGAGCAATTGCACTGGCTGCTCTGGTGTCTGGGAAACTGCCAGAGTTAAAGGGCAAAAGGTATAAAATTATCCAAAAGCTCAATTTTTGTATATTATTGATATTACCTGGGGATATCTTAGTGCTTGGACTGGATGACCACCCAAGGAATTTTAAGGTTGTACACTAGACTGCAGAATTGCAAAAATTATCCCCAGAGAGTTGAGTTTGACTCAAAGGAGAATTATCTTCCTCCAATTTGATTGGCAACTTCTAGTTGATCTTGGCTGATCTCAGAAGCCTAGCAGAGTATCGGGTTTTGGTTGAGAGATTACCAAGATATCTCAAACAAGGAAAAAGCACTTTCTTATCCTCACCAGAAAAACTACTTGGGCAAGTTAGTCTCTGTTAGTCTCCAGCTGTTAAGCTCAACATCTAGAAAGCAAAGGGGACATTTATTTCCAAGTCAAAAGAAATGCAGGGGGCTGGACTAGAAGACCTCCATAGTTCCTTCCAACTCTGTTATTCTGTTAAATGAACCTCCTGCTTCAAGCTGCTGCTTGTCGTGGAAGCTGGTGAAGGAAAGCTAGTTGAGGGTTTGGAAGGCTAATGTAGTCAGATTCCCTTTATTCCATAAAATGAAACCAACTTAAACGTCTGAGTTTAGGACATTGTAGTTGTCCACTTGATGGGTAGTTGATGAATTGGAGGCACTTCTTCATGGCTTCTGATGTGTGACCTGGGAAGTGGGGGTCCAGTACTGTAAGGAGCTCTCCCTTTAACATCCCCATCTTCCAGAGATAGTCATTGTGTCATCATAGAACCTTGTCATCCTCCGGGGACCATATCAGGTGCTTGGTAGGTAGGGCAGCTACCCATTCGGCATTGTGTTTTAACCACACTCAGCAGGTAGTCCTCAACAGAACTACATCTACATGGAGAGACGTGTGCAATGGGGGAGGGTGTACCTCAAGGTTCTGTTTTACATCCAGTACTCTTCAATGTCCCCAAATTTATCTCGATGTGGGGATAGATGTGGGTGCTCCATCGCTGGTGTTCAAGAAAAGAATGGACAATCGTTTGTCCGGGATGGTAAAAGCTTTCCTGACTTGGCCAGGGGTTGGACTAGAAGATCTTGTTGTTAATTGTGAAGTCATGTCCAACTCATCGCGACCCCATGGACAGTGTTCCTCCAAGTCTTCCTGTCCTCTGCCATCTTCTGGAGTCCATTTAAGTTCACACCTACTGCTTCAGTGACTCCAACCAGCCATCTCATTCTCTGTCATCCCCTTCTTCTATTGCCCTCCATCTTTCCCAGCATTAGGCTCTTCTCCAGGGAATCCTTCCTTCTCATTAGGTGGCCAAAGTACTTGAGTCTCAACTTCAGGACTGACCAGTTTGAACGCCTTGCAGTCCAAGGGACTCGCAGGAGTCTTCTCCAGCACCATAGTTCAAAGGCCTCAATTCTTTGGCGCTCAGCCTTTCTTATGGTCCAACTTTCACAGCCATACATTGCAACTGGGAAAACCATGGCCTGGACTATACGCACTTTTGTTGGCAGGGTGATGTCTCTGCTTTTTAGTATGCTGTCTAGATTTGCCATAGCTTTTCTCCCCAGGAGCAAGTGTCTTTTAATTTCTTGGCTGCAGTCCCCATCTGAGGTGATCTTGGAGCCCAGAAAAATAAAATCTGTTCAAGGCCCCTTACAACCCTATTATTCTATGCTTTATGTTCTAGTTATGATGGTTTTGGTTTTAGCATGATCAGGATGCTGTTTCTTAGAAATCCTTTAAAAAAAAAAAACCTTACAGGAGTTCTTAGCCTTTTTTTGTCCTCTTTGAGAATCTGATGAATCCCATGGATCGTTCTGAAAAATGCCTAGTTTAAATGCATAGAATGAAATGGTGAAAATTACATCGTCGTTATTATTCCCATCTAAGTTCACGGAATCTTGAAATCTTACCCTGCCCTTCTTTGTGATTCTTGAGATGTGGTCCTTAAAGGATAAATCAAATCCTTGGACTGTCTTAATGCTATGGTGAAGAGATGTGGGGGAAAAATGATGCAAATGCTTCCTGCATTTTTCCATCCCTGAATTAGTGGTAGGTGGGTCAGATGGCTCTAAAATTAGCAGTACTTGGAGACTGGCCATATCCACCAGGAACTGCAAGTATGTGGCTGTGACATGAAGTAGATTCTGTTTTGCTCCTTTTGGCCAGATTGAGGAAACAGAAAGGCAGGTGTATGAAATTAAAAAAATTGTATAATTCCTAAGTAGAATTTTTACCCTTAAAGGGAGCTGCTGTCTATTACTACAGACTTTCTTGAGTGTGAAAGTTCAGGAGATGATGTCCTTCACCTCCTTGCTAGGCTGACATCTTTGCCTTCCCAGGTGGCGTAAAATAATAATTGTTGTTAGTTGTGAAGTCATGTCCGACCCATCGCGACCCCATGGACAACGTTCCTCCAGGCCTTCCTGTCCTCTACCCTCTTCTGGAGTCCATTTAAGTTCACACCTACTGCTTCGGTGACTCCATCTAGCCACCTCATTCTCTGTTGTCCCCTTCTTCTACTGCCCTCAATCTTTCCCAGATAATAATAATAATAAGATGGAACAAAACCTGTGCTGGTTTTGTTTATAAATATTCCCTCTAAAAAAATGGGTGAAGGAGTATGCTACCCTCACTTGGAATGAGACAAGAGAAAGAGACATTTTAGTCCATTCCACTTTGGAGAACTCTGATCTCCAAAATCTCCTGCTTTATTGGCTTCATGTTACCCAATATTCATTCAAAGGAATTAAAATCAGAAACTGGGTGGGTTTTTTTAACCTGGAAACTATTTTTCTCCAGCCCTGTATACTTCTGATAGTTGAGCCCACATGAACAGGATGATAAAAATTATAATCCAATAAATGGATGATTATATGTGTGTTGTTCGTCCATCGATTTTTGATGAAGACCTTGACATCTTGTGGATTATGGGCCATCAACGATGTGTCCGTAGGTAGCTAATAAGACCGATGTTAGCACGGAATGTTCTGCCACATACTGAACAAAGAAATGTAAACACTGTTACTTCAGCATTTATAGCTCTGGCTTTGCGGAGTGCTCGCTTCTCTTGTGCCAAGATTGTCCTTCTGTGTTCATATGTCTGGCAACCCTGGTACACCAAGGTGCGCCATGTTGGTCGATCATGCGCCAGAAGTTCCCAAAAGATGGTGTTAATATCCAGGGACTTGAGAGAGGCTTTCAATGTTTCTTTGTATCGCTTCTTTTGTAGAATGTAGAAGAATGGAAAGAGCTGAGTAGATATGGAGGCAAAGGTGTACAAATACTGAAGCCTTGTAAAACAGGCATTGACTAGAAGGCTATTGTTACAGATAGTCAAAGGGGAACCATGCAATATATTTTAATCCTTGAACCTGTTAAATCTATCAAATAAGCTATGAAGGGGAAATGGTTTATTTCATTTTCTCACCTTGTTTCAGAGTGGCTGTTGCCGTCAGTAATGGAAACATGGAATTCCCTCAGATGAGGCAGTGCATGGATCACGCCCTTACTCTGGACAACAGAGTGTGTAAATTCACGGTCACCATCACCGATTGTCCAGGAGAGATTTCAAAACTGTTGGAGACCTTAGCTCGCGAGGAAGCAAGGTAGTCTAAACCGTGGTTTGACTTTGATGGGGACCATAATCCACCAACCTGGATAGTAGGTTGAAAAGATTGAATAAAACAAAAGAATATTCAGTGTTATCACCAGGAAATCTATCTGGATGCGTCCCGAGAGTGACCAGGACCTGCGGTTGTCTTGATTACGTCATCTTTAGTGGAGATTTTTGATGTGGTAGGAAGCCAATTACTTCGCCCATGAAAATCCTCCATGTCTAGAATACATGGACAATGTATTTATTTGTTAATTTTATTTGCCACCTATCTCACCATGGGGCTACTGTAGGTGGCTTACAATAATCAAAAGGGAAATAAAATGAAAGCCATATAAACGGAAGTAAAACCATAGGACAATAAAATAAAATATGATAACCAACAAGACGGACGGGTGGAGAGCAGAGAGGAAGGAAGGAGGTAGAATCTGCCCTCAATTCAGCAGCCACCCCTAGTGTGGAACTCCCCCATTTGAACCCAAGATTGACCCGCAGGTCTTCAGGTTCTTGTGGAAGGATAGGAGGGTGAAGGTGGATCTTACCTTAGATGTTCCACAGGATGAATGCTACAGCAGAGACAGCTCTTCTTCTGGATCCCAATAGTCGGACCTCTTTCACTGATGGATCCAAAGTAGACCTTCTCTGCCAGGACATCAGAAAGGACATTTTGCATCTGAAGATGAAAAGGTCACTTCATTTATTCTGCTGTAGCTTCAAGTCACTAACCTAAAAGGTTTAAGGTGTCCTATCAACATAGCAACTTCATTTATTCATTTTTTTAAAAAATCTCCATTTAAGAAAAATACAGGGGGACCAAAATAATCCTACTCTCCAAGCAATGGAAACAGTGCAATTCAAGGATCCTGGGCTAGATTTTCTTTAAACTTTCTTAATTTCCATGGCTCTTTATTCAAACGGGCCTTGATTGGTTTGCAGAAATTCTGCCAAAGACTCAGTTATTGCTTCATGTCTGTGAGACTGAACTAGCTACAATCTTACATAAAAACCTCTTTGTTCCAGAATCTTGGATATCAGACAAGAACAGCCATACATGAGAGCTGATTTATTCACCAGTGAGGTAAGCAAGAGAGAAAAAGCTCAGTCAGATGCCATTTTAACTGCCCTATGCCAAGTTCTACATATAATACTTCTGAGCTATGCAAGGAGTCAGATTTCTAGCAATTCAATTAAACAACTTAGCTTTGGATTCAAGATAATAAACCTGAAAGCTCTAGGCTAGGGGATGTTCTTAATTTACAGACAATTAAACAACTTAGCTTTGGATTCAAGATGATAATCCTGAAAGCTCTAGGGGATGTCCTTAATTTACACGGCCAAAGATGGTTATTTGGCTTGAAGATGGATTGGAGGTGTCTTTTTAATATGAAATTTTTAACGGAGAGATTAAAACTGTAAGATTAAAACTATGGAAATGTCAAACATGAGAAAGGAAAATGAGAAAGGAAAAGTCGAGGAAAGGGGGAAAAGGAGAGGAAAGGAAAAATATTTAAAGCAATCTCTAAAGTTTTGGGCAGCAGTTAACAAACAAAAGAATAAGAACTGTCTTCACCCTTCCACATTGCGCATCTTGGTCCCCACCTTCCCTTTTTAATCAGTCAGCCTTGAAACCATCCATTTGTTTTTGCTAAGCTTCAGCAAAAGAGTCCATAAAGGCTTTCTAATCTTCTATTAAAAATAGTTCTTTCTCCTTTCCTAATCGGATAAAACAATTTAGCCACTTCACGTTCTACCATTTTTACAGTCTACTCCATTGTGGGTTTGTGGGTATTTTTCCCCATTTTTTATGCATATAGTAGCCTTGCTGCAAACAAAACCAATAATCTAATATAAGACGGAGAGCACTTGGTAATAAAGTTGCCCAGAATTGGATACAACTGAAGAGTTAAAACAACAACAGTATAGATGATTATTATACAGATGATTACCATAAAATAGCCTTGCTGCATACAAAGCCAGTCACCCATGAATCTTTTCTAGTTGGCTATCCATAAATCCTAGTAAAACTCTAGTAAAACAGTACACATGTATACATACCTACATATATATTGCTTAAATTGATTTGAGATGTCTTGAATTTGACTGTGTTGATTTTATTCTTGATTTTAGATTTGGCATTTTGGTTCCATAAGCTTTCTTGAATGCTTACAAAAACAGGAAGATAGAGGGCAAGATAGATAGTACTAATAGTATAGCAGGTTCCTACTTACTCCCAACTTACTGCCACAATTGTACCCTAACAGTATTTAATTTCTCCCTTTTCCCACGTTAATGTCTTTTTATCCTGCCCATCAACAAGAAGGCTCTTAAAATGCTCTTAAAATACAAGTCTGTATTTTTTCCCCCTGTTATTATAACATCATGCAGTGAAAACTTCAAAGTGGGTAAAATTTGTTAGGCTCCATCCATTTTGATGGAGAAAAATCAAGGTACTGAGTAACTGGGAACAGGGGTGGAATACAGATTGGCAGTGATTACAACCCATTAAAATACATTTATGGAATTCCATACATTCCTGCCTACCTTTATTTTATGATTTGAGGTCAATTGGGAGAGGTGTAATGGCCTACAGGTGGAACTCTTGCCTCACTATGAGGCGGCTGTGAGTTTGATCCTGGGTGGCGGCAGATATTTCTCTGCCTGGGAGCAAAGAGGAAATATCTGCTGTGAGCTTTGTGTAGGCATCAGGAAGGGCATCCAGCCAGTAAACGCTCAGCTCCATTCACTCACCCAACTCCACCCCGATGCAAGGGATTACAGGGTCATTAAAAAAAAAAGATTGAGATCAATTGTTTACTAAAGCCCTGATTTAGGTTCCTGCAACTCAATATGCTTTGCCCCCCCCCCTCCAGGTCTCCTGTGTTGTGGAAACGCGTGACAGAAGCCATACTACTCAATTAAGAAAGATCCTCACGGAGCGTTATCCAATGATAACATGGGTGGAACGGTGAAGATGACAGCTGACTGAGACGGTCCACTTTAAAAAAAAAACAATATGGAAAGCTCAATATATTGCAAGTAGCATTTCTTTCTAGAACACCTTTATACTTTGTGATACATGAGTGACAGAGCTGACGTACACCTGCCTCCAGAGGTTGCAATCTAAAAGAACCATCAATGTGCAGTGAATAGCTTTAAGTTTTCCCAAAGCATAAACCTTGCAAAATCACAAGTAGCTTATTTCTTTCATTCAGGAGAGTTTTTGTTCAGATCCGTAAAAGGCGTCAATTAATAGTTCATAATTCCATCTTTCTCGGTTTATGGAGAACCAATAGAGATGCAGTATTACTATAGAGGTTCTACTTGATGACAATTCGTAATTTCTGAGTTAATCCAATATTGCTGTATCAGTAGTCCATAAAAATTACAAGTTAAAATGTTTACTTTATCTGTCTACTCACTGTGAATTATTTCTGGCACACTTCTAGAAAAAAAAAAAAAAGACCATCTGTTTTCTTTAACTCTTAGGAGAGTTGACCTTGCAAATATATATTTTTTTCCAAGTCTGAATTGTTTTAACCTTTTCTTAATTTAAATCATTTTGGATCTGGCAAGTACTTTGCATTAGAACCCAACCTTGCCAGGGCTCAATTTAAAATTTTAGGTTTTTAAAGAAAACACTGGACTGCATTTTGAGTTAGAGGTTGTCGGGTTTTTTTTAAGTAAAATATATTCAGACCTTAAAGCAAGTTGAGTTTAATCCTAAATCATGCAGATTTGCCTTGTGTTTCAGCTTTGTTGGAAGAAAGAACAATGAAGGAAAACTAATAAGCATTAATAACTATTAAGTTGGCTTTCCCGTCAGGAATCCCACATTGATGTATTCTTGGCAAAAAGTTCAGCCACTTGTCATCAACCCATGTTTTGTTTCTCAACACAGAAAGCCAAAGTTTAGCATCGTTTTCCAAAATGTGCAGATATCTGAGTAAAGGCTGCTGCATTTTTTCTCACTTAGTCAGAGATAGCTGACTAGTGGTTGATGTTGCAAATACGAGTCAATTGCAAGATTTGCTGTTATGTGTGTGTGTGTGTGTGTGTTGACTAGCATAAAATGCACGAACACCAGGAAATTTATAAAACTATAAAAGTTTTAATGAGATAAAATACCAAGCTTTTGCTGGCTACTATCAGCATCATCAGGGTAACTTCCAATCGATGGGGGAAGCTATTTATGGGTATGGTGCTCTTTGCGCCTGGCTCCTAGACCTCGTCATAGGTCCCAACCAATCCACCTGTGTTTTGGTTGTAATTTCTGTATTGCTAGCCATTGTTTCCTTGCTTTCCTTGCTTGTATCCACATCACCACCCTTTCTTCCCTCCACTTATTTGCATGACCTGAAGAATTTTGAAGATTTTCTTTTTTCCCCTCTAAAAATCGCTCTCTACCTAAGTAAAGTTTGGTTAATGCATTCAAGGGTCCTGAGAAGATGCAAACCTGTGTCTATTTAAAATGTTCTCAAGATTTTAACTTTAATTTTTTGGGTTTGGGCTTCTTGCTTCCTCGGTCAAAAGGATATTCTGAAGCTGAATGGAAGCTACTGTATAATGTATTTGTTAGATTCGTATTCTGCCTTTTATACAGGGGTGCAAGGCAGCGTAGCTATTACTGCCTCTTCCATTTTTTTCTTGATAGCCACAATTCTGTGAGAAGGGCTGTTCTGTCAGATGCCCTGGTGAGTCAGTTTATTAGGGCCAATGACCACAGTTCCTGTTCAAATTAAAAGTCTGACCAAATAAAATGAAATAAATATTGATTCCTTAGTTATTGTTACTTTTTATTTCTTTACGAAATTTAGAGGCTGCTTGACTGTAGAATGACTCTGGACAGCTTCTATCACAAAAATAGAAAATGATCATTTTTAAAAAAAAACGATTGGTTATTATAGCAGGTTTTACAAACAATAAAACAAGACTTGGCTACCTTTAAAGAAACTAAGTAGACTTATTGACTAACAACATCAGTATATCAAATAAGCCTGACAGATGTCAAGTTTAGTTTTAAAAAAAGGGAAAATGAAACCGCACTGTGCATTTTTATACAACGGGCATTGCAATAATAAATGGACCAAAGCTTCAACTATCCCAGTGGTTCTCAACCTTTCTAATGCCGCGACCCCATAATACAGTTCCCTATGTTGTGGTGACCCCCAACCACTTATACATCACCAGGTGCCAGGGGCGTGGCCAAAGAAAAGGGGGAAAAAATGGCAGACAGCCTTGTTTGGCGACCCCCGTGAAACGGTCGTTCGACCCCAAATGGGGTCCCGACCCACAGGTTGAGAACCACTGAACTATCCCTTACCACAAGAACAGATTTTTCTTGAGGTTTTTTTTTCAAAGAAATTGCCTAGAATTAGTTAGAATTGGGTGGCATCCAAATAGATTTTTTTTAAAAAAAATAAATAAATGTTAAAATACATCAGGGTTAACGCTCTCCTATATTGCAAGGTGGATGTATGGTTTAAATATCTTGCAGGTCTAAAAAAAGGGAACATGGTTGTTGGTAGCAAAGCCATTGAGTTGAATCTCAAGACTAAAATATTGGTCAAGATTGAATGGGATGGACCCAAGACAGCTTTTCAAGGGTGCTTCATTTCATAACTTTTGTCAAACTTTTGTGCTTTGCCAGCTTAAAATAATTGATAGTTATCAAGGGAGAGAGGAAAAAGGCATTTAAGAAAATGCAGTGAAATGAAACTTCACCACTATTAAGATTACATGGGTCAAGCAGCCAAAAAGAAATGATTTATTGGTGGTTCTGATAATACTGCCTATTTCAAGAGTTCTGCTTTCTTAGGAGAAAGGCAGGTCCTTACATTAGACTTCTGTTAAAGATCTTGCCAGCTTATCAACGCCTCACCCACAAGGAGTTTTTGAAATTTGATTTAAATTTAAATTTAATTAAGTAACAAAACATCATGCAAGTGAGTGGACTTATTTATTCAGAGTAATAACAGAGTACTGAGCTTGGGAACCCTGAGATCAGAAGAGATACACTAAAAGCACGTAAAACCGGTCTCAAGTCTCACAAGTCAAAGAGGGCTGGTAAAACTGATTGAATTTAAACTCTACCAAGTTTAAGTTCAACAATATTTCTGAGTGGGAATCTACAACAGCGGTAAAATAAACGTTCAGAAAACAGGTTGATCCACCAGCTTGCAGGGTTCGTGTTCAGTGACTCAGCTGCCGGATTCACAGGTTGGTGAGGAATCACAACAAAAGGCACAAGACTTTGGAGATCTCTATAGAGTCTCTACATTCACCCAATAGGCTCACCCCAAACGGTCTGAGCTGGAACGTTTGAGAAATTCACAATTCCACTTGCTCAGAAAATCAGTGTGAGTCTTCTTCTGACTGCCATTAGCTCCCCGTCAGCAGTTTCAGGCTGTCTTGCTCTTCTGTTCTGAAACCAGACCTACGTCCTACCAGAAAAATAAGCTCAGGAAGTTGGCGGTAAACTCAAATCATTGAAAACAGGTTGTGTTGGATGGTGTAGAAAATTCACAATCACTGTTACCTGATTTAACTTAGGAAGGAACTTAGCTTGCATCTCCTCCTGACTGTCCTCCTCCCCACAGAAAACAGATTTAGGCTTTCTTGCTCTTCTGCTCTCAAACCAGAGTTAAGCCTTATCAGAAAAATAAGTCTACCATCATTCCACTGAGAAAAGAGACTTTTGAAGTAAAATAATATATCAACTAAAGTCCCTCATGGGCTTTTGTGTCCTTCAATGACAATAAAATGGTTTCAATGTTATTGAAAACCTTCATTGGACCAAAAGGATGTTTCTTCCTTTAATTACATTTTAGTCTGATTCGTCTGCTTCGTAAACCATGAGATACATTGACTCAGTCCAAATAGCTCTGCAGGAACGGGATGGCGAGTCCAACTCCCAAGAAGTCATTTTGAGAAGTGAAAGAAGTCTCTTCCTGGTTCTTCCCCAAAGGCTGGAGTAATTGGAGACCTCTCCATGGAGATTCCAATCTCTCCCTAGTAGGCTCAGATCATCCATAACCCACTGTTCTGGATTGTGTAGAAAATTTACAATCCTTATTGCTTCATTTACCTCAGGAAGTCAGCATGGGATAGTGAGTCCAACTACCAAGCAGCCATTTTGATAAGTGAAAGAAGTCTCTTCCTGGTAATTCTGCAAAGGGGAAGTAGTTGAAGACCTCCATGGAGACTCCAGTCTCTCCTTGGTAGGCTCAGATCATCCATAAAATGCTTTTCTGGATTGTGTGGAAAATTTGCAATCCTTATTGCTTCATTTACCCCAGGAAGTCAATTTGCATCTTCTCCTGACTGCCACTTGCCCTCCTAACCGCAGATAACAGATTTAGGCTTTCTTGCTCTTCTGCTCTCAAACCAAAGTTAAGCCTGATCAGAAAAATAAATTCACCATCACTACACTGATAATATATACTTTTGAGGTGAAACAAGATGTAGACTCAGATTATTGAAAATAGGTTGCATTGGAAAGTGATTTAGATTAGGAAGTCAATGTGAGTCTTCTCCTGACTGCCACTTGCTCTCCTCCCCACAGATAGCAGATTTAGGCTTTCTTGCTCTTCTGCTCTAGAACCAGAGTTAAGCCTGATCATAAAAATAAGTCTACCATAATTCCCCTGAAAAAAGAAACTTTTGAGGTGAAACAAGGTGTCAACTAAGTTCATCATGGCCATTTGTGTCCTAGCAAATAACAATAAAATGACCTCAATGTCATTGAAAACCTTCTGTGGGCCAAAATGGTGCTTTTTAAATGACATTTAATCTGATTCCTCCTCTTCATAAACCATAAGATACAGTGATTCAATCCAAATAGCTCTGCAGAAATGGGATGGTGAATCCAATTACCAAGAGGCCATTTTGAGAAGTGAAAGAAGTCTCTTCTTGGTTGTTCCCCAAATGCTGGAGTAGTTGGGGACCTCTCCATGGAGACTCTGACACCTGGTAGATCATTGAAAATAGGCTTCATTGGATAGTATGGAAAATTCCCAATCCCTATTAACTGATTTAGCTTAGGAAGTCAATGTGAGTCTTCTCCTGACTGCCACTTGCTCTCCTCCCCACAGATAACAGATTTAGGCTTTCTTGCTCTTCTGCTCTTGAACCAGAGTTAAGCCTTATCAGAAAAATAAGTCTACCATAATTCCCCTGAAAAAAGAAACTTTTGAGGTGAAACAAGGTGTCAACTAAGTTCATCATGGCCATTTGTGTTCTAGCAAATAACAATAAAATGACCTCAATGTCATTGAAAACCTTCTGTGAGCCAAAATGATGCTTTTTTAATTACATTAAATCTGATTCCTCCTTTTCATAAACCATGAGATACAATGACCCAGACCAAGCAGACCTGCAGGAATGAGATGGTAGGTCCAACTGTCATGGGGCCATTTTGAGAAGGGAGGGAAGCCTCTTCTTGGTTCTTGTCCAAAGGCTGTACTGGTTTGAGACCACCATAGAGATTCCAATCTCCCCATGGTAGACTTGGATCATCCAAAACAGGTGGTGCTGGATGGTGTAGAAAATTCACAATCCCTGTTGCCTGATTTACCTCAGGAATTCAATGTGAGTCCTCTCCTGACAACCACTTACCTTCCTCCCCACAGATAACAGATTTATTTATTTTGTTTTTATTATAAATACACATCCAATGACTCTGGGTGGCTTACAAGATAAAGACATGAAACATTAAAACCATCAATTATAATATAATACAGCAGATGGCAAAGGAGAGAGCTGGACACATGAGGGGGAGGGGGATTAGATTTTAATTAGTCAATGATCTCCAGTAAGAAGCTCCCCAATTGCCATCTGGCCAAGGCAGGTCTTCAGTCTTCTACAAAAAATCAGGAAGGTGGGAGCCATCTTGAAAGTCATGATGTTCCAGAAGGCAAGTCATGATGTTCCAAAAGTCATGATGTCCCAGTGTGGCCCCTCTGCCAGTACAAGTGGGGTGGACCAATCCCTTTGGAGTGAGATAGTTCCCAGTTGCCTGATTTAGCTCAGGAACTCAATGTGAGTCCTATCCTGACTGCCACTTGCCCTCCACCCCACAGATAGCAGATTTCGGCTTTCTTGCTCTTCTATTCTCAAATCAGACCTATGTTATCAGAAAAATAAGTTCACAATTGTCCCCCTGAGAAAAGAAACCCTTTAGGTAAAACAAGATGTCAAGTAAGTCCCTCAGCAGCATTTGTATCCTAGCAAATAACAATAAAATGGCTTCTGTCATTGAAAGTGTTCTGTGGGCCGAAACGCCACTTCTTTAATTACATTTTAGTCTGATTCCTACTCTTCATAAACAGCAGATAATCCAAGCAGCAATGAGAGATGCAGGGTCCATTCACCATTAATTTCTTTTGAGAAGGGAAGGAAGTCTCTTTTGGTTCTTCCCCAAAGGCTGGAGTAGTTGGGGACCTCTCCATGGAGATTCTGACCTCACTCTGATGGGCTCAGATCATCCAAAATAGGTTATGCTGCATGGTGTGGAAAATTCATATTCCCTGTTTCCTCGTTTACCTCAAGAAATCAGCTTGTATCTTCTCCTGACTGCCACTTGCCCTCCTCCCCACAGTTAACAGATTTAGGCTTTCTTGCTCTTCTGCTCTCAAACCAGAGTTAAGCCTGATCAGAAAAATAAATTCACCATCACTACACCGATAAAATAAACTTTAGAGGTGAAACAAGATGTAGACTCAGATCATTGAAAATAGGTTGCATTGGAAAGTGATTTAGGAAGTCAATGTGAGTT